AAAATGGCAAATGAAAGTCCAATTTTTAAAAGGGAGACAGACATGAGGCACTAAATACGACCTGTATCACTAACGTGTATAGTATGCAAGGTCATGGAGATCATCAGGGGGGAGAGTGGGGGGCCCCGGGAAAGAAAAAAGGTATAATTGACAACCAGCAGGGTTTCAGGGAAGGAAAATCCTGTGTCACAAACCTACTAGAGTTTTATGAAAGGTGACAGAAGTAAGACAAGAGAGAGAGCGGGGTGGATCGACTGCGTATTTTTGGACTGCAAGAAGGCTTTCGACACAGTTTCTCACAAGAGGTTACTGCAAAGCTAGAGGACCAGGCACACATAACAGGAAAGGCACTGCAATGGATCAGAGAATATTGACAGGGAGGCAACAACGAGTCATGGTACGCGACGAGGTGTCAGAGTGGGCGCCCGTGACAAGCGGGGTTCCACAGGGGGCAGTCCTAGGACCTGTGTGTTCTTGGGATAGTTTAACGACATAACGGAAGGGATAGACTCAGAAGTGTCCTTGTTTGCAGATGATGTGAAGTTAATGAGAAGAATCAAATCGGCGAGGATCAAAGGGAGGACTACAAAGAGACCTGGACAGGCTACAAGCTGGTCCAGCAACTGGCTCCCTTTATTTAACCCTGCCAAATGCAAAGTCATGAAGATTGGGGAAGGGCAAAGAAGACCGCACACACAATATAGTTTAGATGGCCAAAGACTGCAAACCTCACTCAAGGAAAAAGATCTGGGGGTGAGTATAACACCGAACATATCTCCTGAGGCGCACATCAATCAGATAACTGCTGCAGCATACGGGCGCCTGGCAAACCTACGGATAGCGTTCCGATACCTCAGTAAGGATTCGTTTAAGACTGTATACCATCTACGTCAGGCCCATACTGGAGTATGCAGCACCAGTTTGGACTCCACACCTAGTCAAGCACGTCAAGAAATTAGAAAAAGTGCAAAGGTTTGCAACAAGACTAGTCCCAGAGCTACGGGGATTGTCCTATGAAGAAAGGTTGAGGGAATCGGCCTGACGACACTGGAGGCCAGGAGGGTCAGGGAGACATGATAACGACATATAAAATACTGCGCAGAATAGACGAAGTGGACAAAGACGGGATGTTCCAGAGATGGGACACAGACACAAGAGGTCACAATTGGAAGTTGAAGACTCAGATGAATCAAAGGGATGTTAGGAAGTATTTCTTCAGTCATAGAGTAGTCAGGCCATGGAATAGCCTAGAAGGTGATGTGGTAGAGGCAGGAACCATACATAGTTTTAAGGCGAGGTATGATAGAGCTCATGGGGCAGGGAGAGAGAGGACCTAGTAGCAATCAGCGAAGAGGCGGGGCCAGGAGCTGTGAATCGACCCCTGCAACCACAAATAGGTGAGTACAAATAGGTGAGTACACACACACACACACACACACACACACACACACACACACAGTAACTGAAGGGGACAGGCCAAACTATAAAAGGGGGGACTACACAGGTATGAGAAACTTCCTGCAGGAGGTTCTGTGGGACAGAGAAATGGTAGGAAAATCAGTAAACGAGATGATGGAATATGTGGCAACAAAGTGCAAGGAGGCAGAGGAAAGTTTTATTCCCAAGGGAAACAGAAATAATAGGAAGACCAAAACGAGTCCTTGGTTTACCCGAAGGTGTAGGGAGGCAAAAACTAAGTGCAACAGAGAATGGAAAAGGTACAGGAGGCATAGGACCCAGGAAAACAAGGAGATTAGTAGAAGAGCCAGAAACGAGTATGCGCAGATAAGGAGGGAGGCCCAGCGACAGTATGAAAACGACATAGCATCGAAAGTCAAATCTGACCCGAAACTGCTGTATAGCCACATTAGGAGGAAGACAACAGTCAAGGACCAGGTGATAAGGCTGAGGAAAGAAGGTGGAGAACTCACAAGAAACGATCAAGAGGTATGTGAGGAGCTCAACACGAGATTTAAGGAAGTATTTACAGTAGAGACAGGAAGGACTCTGGGGGGACAGACCAGATGGGGACACCAACAAGGAATACACCAACAAGTGTTGGACGACATACATACAGATGAGGAGGAGGTGAAGAAACTGCTAAGGGACATCGATACCTCAAAGGCAATGGGACCGGACAACATCTCTCCATGGGTCCTTAGAGAGGGAGCAGATATGTTGTGCATACCACTTACCACAATCTTCAACACATCCCTGGAAACTGGGCAACTACCTGAGGTATGGAAGACGGCAAATGTAGTTCCCATTTTCAAAAAAGGAGACAGAAAAGAGGCACTAAACTATAGACCTGTGTCATTGACGTGTATAGTATGCAAAATTATGGAGAAGATTATCAGGAGGAGAGTGGTGGAGCACCTGGAACGGAACAGGAGTATAAATGCCAACCAGCACGGATTCACGGAAGGCAAATCCTGTGTCACAAACCTTCTGGAGTTTTATGATAAAATAACAGAAGTAAGACAAGAGAGAGAGGGGTGGGTTGATTGCATCTTCTTGGACTGCAAGAAGGCCTTTGACACAGTTCCTCACAAGAGATTAGTGCAGAAGCTAGAGCATCAGGCGCATATAACAGTGGGCACCTGTGACGAGCGGGGTCCCACAGGGGTCGGTCTAGGACCAGTGCTATTTTTGGTATATGTGAACGACATGACGGAAGGGTTAGACTCAGAAGTGTCCCTGTTTGCAGATGATGTGAAGTTAATGAGGAGAATTAAATCTGATGAGGACCAGGCAGGACTTCAAAGAGACCTGGACAGACTGGACACCTGGTCCAGCAAATGGCTTCTCGAATTTAATCCTGCCAAATGCAAAGTCATGAAGATAGGGGAAGGGCACAGAAGACCACAGACAGAGTATAGGCTAGGTGGCCAAAGACTGCAAACCTCACTCAAGGAGAAAGATCTTGGGGTGAGTATAACACCGAGCATGTCTCCGGAAGCACACATCAATCAGATAACTGCTGCAGCATATGGGCGCCTGGCAAACTTGAGAACAGCATTCCGACACCTTAGTAAGGAATCATTCAAGACACTACACCGTGTATGTCAGGCCCATATGGAGTATGCAGCACCTGTTTGGAACCCGCACTTGATAAAGCACGTCAAGAAACTAGAGAAAGTACAAAGGTTTGCAACAAGGTTAGTTCCAGAGCTAAGGGGAATGTCCCATGAAGAAAGATTAAGGGAAATCGGCCTGACGACACTGGAGGACAGGAGGGTCAGGGGAGACATGATAACGACATATAAAATACTGCGTGGAATAGACAAGGTGGACAAGGACAGGATGTTCCAGGGAGGGGACACAGAAACAAGAGGCCACAATTGGAAGTTGAAGACACAAATGAGTCAGAGAGATAGTAGGAAGTATTTCTTCAGTCATAGAGTTGTAAGGGCAGTGGAATAGCCTAGAAAATGACGTAGTGGAGGCAGGAACCATACACAGTTTTAAGACGAGGTTTGATAAAGCTCATGGAGCGGGGAGGGGAGAGGGTCTAGTAGCAACCGGTGAAGAGGCGGGGCCAGGAGCTAGGACTCGACCCCTGCAACCACAAATAGGTGAGTACAAATAGGTGAGTACACACACACACACACACACGCACACGCACACGCACACACACACACACACACACACACACACACACACACACACACACACACACACACACACACACACACACACACACAAGGGTGGGCAGACTGCATTTTCTTGGACTGCAAGATGGCCTTCGACACAGTTCCTCATAAGAGATTAGTACAGAAGCTACAGGATCAGGCGCGCATAACATGAAGGGGACTGTAATAAAGTTGGTAGAATTACCGACAATATGTAAAGTAAAAGGACACAAGTGCAATTAATGTGATATTTTTATTGTGGCAACGTTTCGCTCTCCTGGCGAGCAAAACGTTGCCACAATAAGGAAGGGGACTGCAATGGATCAGATAATACCTGACAGGGAGGCAACAGCGAGTCATGGTAGGTGACGAGGTGTTAGAATGGGCGCCTGTGACGAACGGGGTGTCACAGGGGTCAATCCTAGGACCAGTGCTGTTTTTGGTATATGTGAATGACATGACGGAAGGGGTAGACTCAGATGTGTCCTTGTTTGCAGATGATGTGAAGAGAATTAAATCGGATGAGGATCAGGCAGGACTACAAAGAGACCTGGACAGGCTGTAAGCCTGGTCCAACAACTGGCTCCTCGAATTTAACCCCGCTAAATGTAAAGTCATGAAAATCGGGAAAGGGCAAAGAAGACCGCAGACAGAGAGGAGCACATCAACCAGATAACTGCTGCAGCAGTTATCTGTCGTCGGCCTAACGACACTGGAGAACAGGACGGTCAGGGGAGACATGATTACAACATACAAAATACTGAGAGGAATTGACAAGGTGGACAGAAACTGAAAGTTCCAGAGATGGGACACAGATACAAGGGGTCACAATTGGAAATTGAAGACTCAGGTGAGTCAAAGGGATGTTAGGAAGTATTTCTTTAGTCATAGAGTTGTCAGGAAGTGGAATAGTCTGGCAAGCGACGTAGTGGAGGCAGGAACCATACATAGTTTTAAGACGAGGTATGATAAATCTCATGGAGTAGGGAAAGTTACCTAGTAACGAACAGTGAAGAGGCGGGATCAGGAGCTGTGAATCGATCCCTGCAACCACAATTAAGTAAGTACACACACACACACACACACAGATGAGGCACAATAAAGCTCTTGGAAAAGGAAGAGAGTGGACCTAGTAGCGACCAGCGAAGAGGCGGGCCCAGGAGCTGTGAATCGACATTGCAATCACATACAGATGAGTATATATATGTGAGTACACACATGCACACACAAGTACAAGCAGTTATGCATACATCAATCATTCAGAGCAGCGAAGGGGTTACTTTACAAATAAGATTTATGTTGAACGTACATAACTCACAATACAGACCAACACATCACCCTCCGCTAGACTCCTCAAGTCAGACTTACCTTGACAGGGTCGAAGTCAGTCTTGAGTGTAACATTAGCACAGTCTCCAAACTCGAGGAACTCTGGGATGCCCAGCCAGGCCAGTGCTGGTTCTGATACACTCACCACCATCACTACACACGCCAAGCACTCTCTTAAAACACTCAATGGCATTTCTTTATCCTCTTTAAGATTCTCCTGTGTGTCTTAAATGTATGCAAGAGTCGAGAATAGTGACGGTGGAGACGGAGAGTAGATGGTGAGTGGAGGCAGGAGTGAAGTCCCGTGACACTCTGAGAGCTATGCAGGACACACGATCCTCTACACTTACTCTTCTCTCCACTTTTCCTTAATCATCTCTCGGTTCCCTCACCTCCCTTCTCTTCCCACCTTTCCCAAAGAAGAACAAGCTAAATCACCTTGATTCAGACCTCAGGCTAGTTGCATAGGTGCTTTCATCTGCAACTGTTCCCCCTCGTTGCTGGGTTAATTGGGCGTACAGCCTATGGGCTACACGAGGGTCATTAAAGACTGCATGTCACCTGTACACTACCAGTCACTATACAAGGGTCAATGAGACTACATGTCACCTGTACACTACCAGTCACTACACGAGGGTCATTAAGACTGCATGTCACCTGTACACTACCAGTCACTATACGAGGGTCATTGAGACTACATATCACCTGTACACCACCAGTCACTACACGAGGGTCATTAAGTAAACAGAGTATATTAAAATAAATTTGCTTATGCAACAAACTGTAATGAACGTTGATCACTAAGAGAGGAAATCCCACAAGAGACAAAAGCGAGGAAAATGGGTAGTCTGTGTATTTCGATCTCAAAATGAGGCTCCCTTCAGGTATGTCACAGAGTCTCTCATTTGCTCGGAATTACTAAACAGCACAAATGATGTAGTTTAAGTTTTGGCAGTCAAGATTGAAAAAAAACAAAACCTTGTCATAGTGGTTGTATACATGCCACCAGATACAACTTCCCAACAATTCAATGAATAGCTATTGAAAATTGACCACTGTCTGGAAAAATCTTCCAATCCCAGTCCCAAATATGTTGCTGCTGGGTGATTTCAACTTAAGACACCAAAAATGGAGGAATGTGGCAAATAATGTTGTACCAGACATAACCCCAGGAGGCAGCTCAGATGAAATTTCACACACACACGAGCTATTAAATTTCTGCAACAAATTCACCTTAAGCCAGCAAATAGTGGAGCCACCAAGTGTGGAAAATACACTTGACCTTATCTTCGCTAACAACGATGATCTGGTACGAAATGTAACAGCATCAAAGACAATGGACTCAGATCACAACATAATAGAAATACAGACGTATGCGCAGGACTCCCGACCAGCAAAATGAAATCAGTTATGAGGGTGCCTTCACCAAATTCAACTTCAATAATAGAAACATACAGAGGGATATCCTAAACAACCTTTGCCTAGAAAGAATTAACTCTGTGGCACTTGAAGTATGCTCAAGTCACGCTCTCCTAAGAAAAGTGAAGAGAAGATGTAAATTAGAAAGAGACGCTCCCTCTCCAGGCGAAGGCAAAGACTCACAGAGCTCCTCAAAGGAGTCAGTCTATCTGAAATATGGAAAGAGCCACTGGTCAGAGAAATAGAAAATATCGAACTTAAGGAATCACACAGGAGCCAGGAAATACAGGAAGAACTTAAAGCCATAAATGAAATTGAAAAACAGAGACAAAGTATTTCTTCTTATGCCAGATCTAGAGAAAACACCACATCCAGTATCGGGCCCCTCCTTAAACGAGATGGAACTTACACAGATGACAGCAAAGAAATACGACTCGGCGTTTAGTGAGCCGTTAATCAGACTGTGGATCGACAATCTAAATGTTTTTTTTTTTATGGCCAAGACTTAAAATTTGGTTAATTCAAGAATTTTTGTTATACTACCTAAAACTACAAACCTTTGAAAAAGCAATAAATGACACGCCCATGCACTCTGCCCCAGGCTCAGACTCGTGAAATTCTGTGTTTAATAAGAACTGCAAGAAGCCCTTTTCACGTGCCTTAAATATTCTGTGGAGAGAGAGCATATACACAGGGGTCATTCCACAGTCACTAAAAACAACAGATATAGCCCCACTCTACAAAGGTGGCTATAAAGCAAATGCAGAGAATTATAGACATATAACACTAACGTGCCGCATCATAAATTTTTTTGAAAAGGTTCTAAGAAGCAAGATCGCCACTCACTTGGATACCCAACAGTTGCCAACCCAGAACAACATGGGTTAGGAACAGGTCGCCCCTGCCTCTCACAACTACTGGACTACTATGGCATGGTCTTGGATGCACTGGAGGACACACAAAATGCAGATGTAGTATACGCAGACTTTATGAAAGCCTTGGACAAGTGCGATCATGGTGTAATAGTACACAAAATGCATGATGAACGAATAACAGGAAAAGTGGGTAGATTGGATCTATAACTTCCTAACAAATACAACACAAAGAGTAATAGTAAACAGAGTAAAGTCAGAGGCGGCTATAGTGAAAATCTGTTCCACAGGATATAGCACTCCCTCTCATTCTTTTCCTCATCCTCGTATCTGACATAGACAGATGTAGGCCACAACACCGTGCCTTCTTTTGCTAATGATACCAGAATTTGCATGACAGTGTTATCCGTCGAAGACAATGCAAATCTCCAGGCGGACATTAACCAAATCTTTAAATGGGCCTCAGAAAACAATATGAAGTTCAATGGAGACAAATTTCAATTACCCTGCTATGAAAAACTCGAGGAAATAAAAACTGGATCTGAGTATAAAACAAATTCCAATTGCACAATAGAGCGAAAAACTAATGTGAAGGACCTGGGAGTGATAATGTCAGAGAATCTCACGTTCAAAGATCACAACAATGTATCTACCACATCTGCTACGAAAATGATAGGATGGATAATGAGAACCTTCAAAACTAGGAACGCCAAGCCAGTGATGATTCTCTTCAAATCGCTTGTTCTCTCTAGGCTGGAATATTGTTGTACACTAACTGCCTCTTTCAAGGCAGGCGAAATTGTATACCTGGAGAATATACAGAGAACTTTTATTGCACGTATAGGTACAATAAAGCACCTAAATTACTGGGAACAGTTCAGGTCCCTTGACCTGTACTTTCTGGAATGCAGGCGAGAAAGGTACATGATAATATACACTTGGAAAATCCTAGGGGAATTAGTCCCAGGTCTGCACACGATAATCACTCCCTACGAAAGCAAAAACTCAGCAGGTGGTGCAACATCCACCCCCCAATGAAAAACAGGGGCGCCATTAGTACACTAAGAGAAAACACAATAAGTGTCTGGGGCCCAAGACTGTTCAACTGTCTCCCAGTATACATAAGGGGGATTACCAATAGACCCCTGGCTTTCTTCAAGAGGGAGATGGACAGATACCTAAAGTCAGTACCTGACCAACCAGAATGTGGTTCGTAGATTGGTTTGTGTGTGGCCAGCAGCAACAGTCTGGTTGATCAGGCCGTGATTCCCCTCGAGGCCTGGTCACGGACCGGGCCGCGGGAGCGTTGATCCCCGGAACACTCCCCCCCCCCAGATATACTCCAGGTACGACAGAGGGCCTCAGCTAGAGGTCGAAATAAAAAAGGCTACCATTCCTCGTTTTTGTCTGAGTCTTTGTGTGTTTGGTGATTCAGGTTTCCCTGAGCTGGGTTGGTAGCGCACTCAGCTCACACACTGAGGTCCGTGGTACGATCCCCGGTACGGGTGGAAGCATTAGGAGATGTTTCCTTAAGACATCTGTTGTCCCTGTCCACCTAGCAGTAAAATAAGTACCTGAGTGTTAGTCGACTGGTGTGGGTCGCATCCTGGGGACAGATTAACCTAATTTCCCGAAGTGCTCTGCACAGCAAGGAACTTTCTATGTAGTATGTCATTGATGTCAGCTATGGTCGGCATAAGTTGTGTTATGTACTTGTAGAAATAAAATTATTACTTATTTCTGTTGTGATGCGCGGATGGCAGCCCTATCTTGTTCAATCTTATCTTTCACAACTCCTTTAAAACACTTCATTCATTAAAGTGACGAATTTATTTCGACTTTTAACAGCGCCCTACGTAGCTAATACAAGTTCTATGCTTTTATAATAAAGGACAACATCAGATACTAAACAGCAGAGGAGGAATTATTAGAAATTTCGTGTAGTTACGAAGGGTTGTTGGACAACACCAAAACACTTGGTTGACGATCTATTGTTTCGTCATTGTACACCTGGAAATGCAGCTCGTCTCTCCTTGAAATAGACGAAGTATCACTTGAGAAGCACCATGTTACCAACAGCTGGGTATTTCCGTGGCATAGCGTGCCCACTCCACGAGAAAAGCTATTGTCATCGTCCTTACTGCCACTTCCGCCACAACCCTAAGAAAGGTCAGTGGCCAGGTTGATCTTTCTTATGTAACAGCTCACTTGCTGGTTTATCTGTGTCTTCTGGCACTCCTTACCTGGAAGGGAGGTGCCTTGATGCTGCTGAAGGGTTCTTGATCTAAGGGAGTGGGGTTAACCCTCCCCCCTTTTCTGGAATTTAATTACAAAGACCCCAGTGGAAATAAGTCACTTTGAGTGACTATTTTTTTTTCTTGGGTAATTTACGCTTATGTTACTGTGTATAATAACTGTACTTGTGTGTACCTGTACCTAAATGAACTTATTCCTTATTCCCTTGTCTTCTCCCCGCTTTCTGTAACTCCTATGGGTTTAGAGCCTTTCCATTCAGTTTGGAGAGGATTCTGACTTTCTGCACTTGAGTGACGGTTAGTTGTCACGGCGAGACAGTCGATGGGTTTTTAACAATTCATGCCAGACAAATTTGTCAACTAGCCGTCCCTCTAGGGGCAGTCCCCTGATACTGGTGAATGGCTCTTGATCCAAGGAATTAAGCATCCTCTTCCTTGAATCGAACCTCGTTGCCTCCCATTATCCTGGCACTGCATGACTCCTGTGGCTTTAGTGCTTCCCCAAAATATAACGCATGATGAGTCACTCTTCAAGGCTCTGGTCAGAGGCTTGTGATCTGAGGAAATGGAGCTACTCCCTTTCCTTAGACCGATCTTGAATGTCTTGACATATGGGTTTACCACTTGTACAAGAATTTACTAATATAATTAAAACAAGTCAGAGCATTGTCATGATTTTGTTGTTATTGTCCTTGTGGTTATTAAGGGCATTTGACATTTCTGCCTAATTATTGAGTCCTTCCTCGGAGTCTGGGTCAGCACTGAATGACCCTTGTGGGTTTAGCGCTTAGTTTTGATAATAATAATCTGAGTTTGGGAAAATTACATTGCTCTAAAGTGGGTGGGAATTATAAAAGACACATTTTTTGGGGAAAGAGAAATGGGAAGAATAATTTCCAAACTAGATCAGGTGGACACACTTGCCTTAATACTGGCAGAGCCATATATACACACATACACACAAAACTTCCCCAACTAAATCACTAATATCGGGCTTTTCCCCAAGCTTGGAAGCTGATGTATGATGCCCCAACTAATTGCCCATCAATAGGCAGCGTATGATGTGGACGTGCATCCCAAGGGCCATGCGCTTGCTTATTTCAAATCTTGCCTTACTAATAGGTATCAGTATGTCACCATTAAAGACACAGCATCAACAACACGGCCACTTGATACTGGAGTTCCGCAGGGAAGTGTCCTTGGTCCCCTGCTCTTCCTCATATACATCAATGATCTTCCAAACGTATCCCAACACCTGAAACCCATTCTCTTTGCTGACGACACGACTTATGTCATCTCTCACCCTAATCTTGCCACCCTCAACACCATTGTTAACGAGGAGCTGATCAAAATATCGACTTGGATGACAGCCAATAAACTTACACTTAACACTGACAAAACCTACTATATTATGTTTGGTAGCAGAGCAGGAGATGCACAAATTAACATTAAGATCAACAACACTCTAATTACCAGACATAATGAGGGCAAATTCCTAGGCCTATACCTTGACAACAACATGAATTTCAGCACCCATATCCAACACATAACCAAAAAAGTATCCAAAACGGTTGGGATCCTCTCCAAGATACGATACTACGTGCCGCAAAATGCCCTTCTCACACTATACCACTCACTTATTTATCCATACCTCACCTATGCTATTTGTGCTTGGGGATCAACTGCAGCAACACACCTAAAGCCAATAATAACCCAACAGAAAGCTGCAGTAAGAATAATCACTAAATCCCATCCCTGGCAACACCCCCCCCCACTCTTCATAGATCTAAACTTACTCCCTGTTCAGTACATCCACACTTACTACTGTGCAATCTACATCTACAGAACCTTAAACTCCAATATCAACCTTGACCTAAAACACTTTCTTGATAGTTGTGACAGAACCCACAGGCATAACACCAGACACAAACATCTCTACGACATTCCCCGTGTCCGACTAAACCTTTACAAAAATTCAATGTATGTCAAAGGCCCTAAAATCTGGAACACCCTACCTGAGAACTCTAGAACTGCAGACACATTCATCACCTTCAAAACTACCATAAGAAAACATCTTATCTCCCTGATACACCCCATCAACTAACTACACGAATACCACCTGGTGGTTCACACTTACACTCACTCACCCATTTGACCATAAACAGAAATATTAATCTCAATCTTAAAATAATGAATCCTATGATACTCCAATACTGAAACTATGTACTGTGTCAAAATAAAAGCATTCACATTGCTAAACTCACAAACTAGTATTTAGTCACTTAGCCATAATACCAACTTACCTCATAATTTGTAATATTTTAAAATAAAGAATTAAACTAAGTCTGCCCGAAATGCCTAGCCATGCTAAGCGTTCTAGTGGTACACTCTGTAATCATTATTTAACTACATGTTAACCACACAACAACCAAATTCTGTAAATTCAACATTGTAATCTTTATAGAGAATAAACTTTGAATTTGAATTTGAAGGGCAGAAATCGGGAAATCTAACACTGATGCAGAAGTCAGGAGTAAAGCTAAATGTTGATACTCCACTAGTGGTGGAACTGAAGCCCCGGGTAGACTCTGCTAGTTAGGACTTAATAAGGAAGTTTATTTAGGCACATATACAGATAAGTACAATTATCATATATAGTGAAAATTATCTCTAGGATAGCAACAAAAAAGTCAGGCAGAGTGACTTATTTCCATTGGGGCCCCTTGTAATATTATTTAAACCTTAAAAGTTAAAACAGCATATGTGAATTGCATTGGTGGGAGGGACTGATGTTTACTTTCTGAGGCCTTATACTAAGACAGGTTTAAATGGTCCCCAGAATTCAAAAGTTGAAATACGTAGTTAGTAGTAGAGTATAAGAAGCTAATAATTTGGAGCTCCCTCATATTGTGAAGCTCTAGGCTATAGCCTACTTAGCTTAAGCATATATTAGCTTATTGAGCATAAGCTTAACCATGATTGGTTACCTGAAAATGATTCAAGGGAGGTCACTGCCCCCCAAAATCAGGTCTCAAACTAGGCCTTCTGGTTAATGGCCTCATCAACTAAGCTTCCCAGTTAATGGCCTCATCAACTAAGCTTCCCAGTTAATGGCCTCATCAACTAAGCTTCCTGGTTAATGGCCTCATCAACTAAGCTTCCTGGTTAATGGCTTCATCAACTAAACTTCCTGGTTAATGGCCTCATTGACTAAGCTTCCTGGTTAATGGCCTCATCAGCTAAACTCCCTGGTTAATGGCTTCATCACCCAGGCTTCTGGTGCTAGCCACACAGTTGATAATGGGCACCTTCTGATCAGGAACTAACTTGAGGAGCTACCCAGTTCCCTCTTGAAGACAGCTAGGGATCTCTCAGTAATTCCCTTTATGCACTCATATTTACAATATCTCCACATTTACTCCAATTTCCCATCACAAATAAATCACCACAAATGGTATAACACCACAGTTGCACTAATAGTGTATATGGACAAATAAAGTATCTAAAATCCAATCAAGATCAGAGACAGAAAGGAAGAAAATAACATAAGTGAAATGACAAAATACTTAGAGTATTTCTGTATTCATGATCATATATAACAGAGGGTTAAAGACCTGGAAAATATAAGGAAGGTAACAGGGCACTGAAGTCAGTCATTCACACAGGTTAAATAAAAGGAAGAATTGTTAACCCTTAAATGGTCCAAACATATGTATATGTTTTTTCAACATCTGAAAGTATGTAAAAAAATGTAGATCTTCTTTTTTGTTTTACATTTGAAAACGCGTAAAAAAAACTTTTATCTACATTTTTTTTGTTATATTTGAAAATATGTAAAAAGAAGTAGATTTACTTTTGTAGGAATACGAATTTGAACGCCGATCTGTTTGGACCGTTTAAGGGTTAAAGAAAACTAATGTCATATGCAGTATAAAGAAATTGGAAAACTTTAACCCTTTGACTGTCGCGGCCGTATATATACGTCTTACGAGGTACCGTGTTTGACGTATATATACTCATAAATTCTAGCGGCTTCAAATCAAGCAGGAGAAAGCTGGTAGGCCTACATGTGAGAGAATGGGTCTGTGTGGTCAGTGTGCACCATATAAAAAAAATCCTGGAGCACGCAGTGCATAATGAGAAAAAAAAACTCCGACCGTTTTTTTTTAATTAAAATGCCGACTTTGTGGTCTATTTTCGTATAGTATTTATGGTTGTATTCTCGTTTTCTTGGTCTCATTTGATAGAATGGAAGACATATTATAGAAATAGAGATGATTTTGATTGATTTTACTATAAAAAGAACCTAGAAATGGAGCTCAAAGTAGGGGAAATGTTTGATTTTTGCCAATGTTCAAAAGTAAGCAAATGATGCCATTTTCCAGTAAATGTCCAACTAGCCATTCTAATATGCAGTCATGAATGGGTTGATGTTATTTATACAATTATTACAGTATTGCAGTAGTCTGCATAATAGTAAGTCTTCAATTTTTTGTTGAATAAAAATTCAAAATAGAAAGCAAGAGTAATATCAGAGGGGCCTGGAAACACGACTGATGAGCAAAGAAAATGTTATTTTAGAGCCAGGAATGTCTGCATTGTTCATTCTGGACCTTATTTTGAAATTGTCATATTTTTTAGTTTTCGTGAAATTGGCCAAATTGCAAATTTCTGACCACATTATTAGGTAGTTGAAATCGGTAAATGGGCAGTTTCTTGTACTCAATCGATAGAAAAAATGGAGTTCTAAAGAAATAGCTATGAGTTTGGGCGACTGGAACAATGGAATTAGCCAAAAATAGGGCTCAAAGCGGGCGAAATCGCCGATTTGTAAACGGCGCCGAGGTTGCTAACTTCGCGAGAGCATAATTCCGTCAGTTTTCCATCAAATTTCGATTTTTTTGGTGTCATTACAATCGGGAAAAGATTCTCTATCATTTCATAAGAAAAAATATTTTTTTTTTTTTTTTTAAATTTTGCGACACCAGGACATAAGACGTATATATACGGCCACGACAGTCAAAGAGTTAAGGACACACAAATTAAATAAAACCTTTTGAAAAAAGACAGGGTAAAATCAAGGACTTTTCATACATTATTAATGGGTTAAATGAAGATAGTTGTGAGGAAGAAGAGGAACTTTCAGTAAAATAACAAGGCTATACCAACCTGACAAATGGTTTCTCAAAGAATAGTTAGTAACCACATTAAAATAAAAATTAAAAAAGGGAGTCAGTGAGCCAATAGCGTTTGTATTTTTTTTTTATACTTTGCTAATATAGTCGTAATAATTAAAAAAAGTAAAGACAAAAGCTAAAGAACATTATATGTGAGAGGAAACCCAATATAGTCTCACTAACTGAAACTAAACTGGAAAACCATTTTTCAAGTAAGATTGTATTTGATGGACACTACTCATTGTGGAGGTAAGAGTGGATAAGAAGGGAGGGGAGTATACCTGGAGAGGGTTTTGGGGGTCAATGCCCCCACAGCCCAGTCTGAGACCAGGCCTCGTGGTAGATCAGGGTCTGATCAACCAGGATGTTACTGCTGGCCACACGCAAACTGACATGCGAAACAGAGCTGGCAGGTCAGGTACTGACTTGAGGTACCTGTCCAGTGCCTTCTTGAAGACAGCCAGGGGTCTGTTGGTAATCCCCCTTATGTATGCTGGGAGGCAGTTGAACAGTCTTGGGCCCCTGACACTTATTGTGTTGTCTCAATGTACTCGTGGCACCCTGCTTTTCATTAGGGGAATCTTGCATCTCCTGCCGAGTCTTTTGCTTTCATAGGGAGTGATTTTCATGTGCAAGTTTGGTACTAATCCCTTTAGGATTTTCCAAGTGTATATTATCATGTATCTCTCTCACCTGCATTCCAGGGAATACAAATCAAGGGACTTCAACCATTCCCAGTAATTTAGGTGCTCTATTGTACTTACGTGTGCCGTGAAAGTTCTTTGTACACTCTCCAGGTCAGCAATTTTGCCAGCCTTGAAGGGGGCAGTTAATGTACAGCAGAATTCCAGCCTGGAGAGAACAAGCAATTTGAAAAGAATCATCATGGGCTTGGCATCCCTAGTTTTGAAGGTTCTCATTATCCATCCTATCATTTTTCTAGCAGATGCAGTAGGTGCATTGTTGTGGTCTTTGAATGTGAGATCCTCTGACATTATCACTCCCAGGTCCTTCACATTACTTTTTCGCTCTATTGTATGGTTAGAATTTATTGTAATCCCTGACACCATATCTGAGTAGTTGAAATTTCTCTTCATTGAACTTTATATTGTTTTTAGTGGCCCATTTGAAGATTTGTTGATGTCCACTTGGAATCTTGCAGTGTCTTCGATGGAGGATACTGTCATGGCAATTTGGGTATCATCTGCAAAGGAAGACACGGAGCTATGGCTTATATATCTGTCTGTGTCAGATATGAGGAATAGGAATAGGATGGGAGCGAGTACTGTTCCCTGTGGAACAGAGCTTTTCACCATAGCTGCCTCAGACTTTCCCTTTGTGTTCTGTTTGTTAGTAAGTTGTAGATCCATCTACCAACCTTTCCTCTTATACCTTTATCACGCATTTTGTGTTATTACACCGTGGTCACACTTGTCGAAGGCTTTTGCAAAGTCTGTGTATACTACATCTGCATTTTGTTTATCCTCTACAGCATTCAGGACCTTGTCATAGTGGTCCAGTAGCTGGGACAGGCAGGGCAACCTGCTCTAAACCCGCATTGCCCTAGGTTGTGTAATTGATGGGTATCTAGGTGGTTGGCAATCTTGCTTCTTAGAACCCTCTGAAAGATTTTCATGATATGAGATGTTAGTGCTATAGGTCTGTAGTTCTTTGTAATTGTTTTCCTGCCACTTTTGTAGAGTGGGGCTATGTCTGTTGTTTTTAGTGAGTGTGGGACGGTCCCTGTGTCCATGCTCCCTCTCCATAGAATGCTGAAGGCATGTGACAGGGACTTCTTGCAGTTCTTGATGAACACGGAGTTCAATGAGTTCCATGAGGGGGAGTGGCAAAATTTGGTAAAAAAAAAAAAGAATACGTATTTAGTGCCTTTGAATTTCTTGAAAGGACAGCTTGGGGGTTTGCTATTTTCTTATTGGATGCCATTCTCATGTAAATTCTAGTATTGGATGACATGGGTTATTAAGCAGGAGTTTTTAGATGTACAAAAATGAGAGGTAGCTCATTCATGCGAAATAAGTGCCCAGTAATTTGTCAGCTTACAGGGTTTAGGTAATACATACTATATATTTTCAGCAGCAATTAATGTTGGAAAAATTTTGCCTGCTGGTTCTTCTTCATTGTCCCTTGCATTACTTTATATCAAAGTAATTTGATTAATAATTGTATTGCTCTTTGTATTTCAGATACTACAAGTTACTCTCCTCAGAGACCCACTTCCAAAACAGATGTTGAGGGGGATGAAACAGATAGTACCAATGAAGCTTCTATGGGTATGTCACCATTGTAAATTACATTGCAGAAAGCTTTTACATGTACTTATGAAATTATCATTCTTTGTGTTCTGATGCATGTACAGTATTTTAATTCTTAAAATACGTAATTATGATTTCAAGTTAATTAATAATTTGCAATTGAAAAATTACAATTTATTCCTGGCAGACTACAGTGGAACCTTGATATACGACCAGCTCCCTTTTCAAACAAAGCTCAGCACTCGGCCAACCAAATACGCCCTACCAGAACTTAGCTGTAAACTATTTTGTTTCTTCACAGTTTTTTTTTTTTTTTTTTTTTGTATTATTTGTATGAATAAGTCACCATGGGGCCTACGAAGATTAGTGATAACAGCCAACCAAACAGAAAATTGGTTGAGAAGAACTTGTTCAATACTCAAATGGAGTGGCACTCAAACAGCCGTCTGGAATGAGTTAAGGTCACATACCGAGGTTCCACTGTAATTGAGAATTGAGCTCATGCTAAATGTTTTTTTCTTCAGATTTGGCAGCTTGCAGCACTACAACAGTGATCACAGAGAATGAGAGCCCTGAGAAGCCACCACTTGAAGAAGGGCAGGAGGGACCATCAGTAACTCACGAGGAAGAAGATCAGTCGGACCTCCTGCAGCAACTTGTGAGCGAGGCAGTGAAGAAAGTATTGGCCGAAAATCCCATTTTAGCATCATCGGGAGTTGACCCTTCAACAATCATGAAGAGCATTGACACCTCGGCGCTCATTGCTCAAGCCGCCCAAGTGAATGCCAAGGCAAAGAAAAAATTCTATTTCCGTCCTCCTGATACACCCAAATATAATCCAACCCCCATTGAAGAGCTCAACAAACGTAAGAGATCTGCCGATTACTCAGAGGATTCTTTTGCTCCTAAGGCCAAGATTGGTAAGTATACCCCAACACCAATCTCCACAGAAAACACTGTAGTTGATAGTGCAGAAGTTGGACCAGGCTCTAAAGAAGAAGCTGATGGTGAGATCACGGATTTTTCATCGGATGAAGATGAGGATCAGGTGGATAAACGAAGATGTGATTTTGACATCTTAGAAGAGGTTCTTGCTGAACACTCACAAAACAATAAAATTAAAGTAAAAAAGAAAAAGGGAAAGGCATTAGGAAAACTCCAGTATAGTCTAAGTATTCCAGAGAAAAATGTTGATGAATCTGCCATGATCTCTGATGCAAGAAATATGTCTGATCAAGATAGTAATACATGTGACACTCTGAGGATAAGCAGTGAAGCCAAAGTGCCAACAGAGGAGTCTTACTTTCTACCCCCTTCTCCTATTTTTACATCATCTAGTGATGGATTCGGAGCATTTAGTTCCATAGTGTATGCAAAATCATGTACAAGTCCCGAGGAGTGTGAGAGTAGTTCTGATATAATTTTGAGTGATAAAAATGTAACTACGAGTCCTGGTGCAACTAGCAATGCAGAAGAGAGTAATACAGTTAAACAGCTTGAACCACATGTGAAAGTTGATAAAAAAATAGTGGCCAAAGATGACACTAAGAGAAAAATAAAAGGTCACATCCACCTCCCCCAAGTAGTCCACACGCTGGGTGCTCCAAAATTAATACGACCGAATATTCGCAACTGGACTCCCCATGTTCGAAGTAATATGTCTGATTCTAGGAAAGACGGTGACCCATTGGAGGAAATGTTAGAATTAATGGATGGAAATGATGCTGCTGCCCAGGAAGAATCTAAGGGGAACTCCAGACAGTCGCCAGCTTCAGGTGGTCAAGAGGTTGCAAGTACAAAAAAGACACACAAATATAAAGTAGATTTAGATAAGGAAATAGAGAGCCTTACAAATTCCCCTTCTAAAAGAGATGAGTCAACTTCTCACGATAGACTAGACTCAGCCAAGAAAGACCTAGATAAACAGGTTGAAGATTCAGAGAGCAACAACAATGCACAAGAAATAAGGGAAGCCACTCAAGTAAATATAGAAAAAACAAAACCAAATCAAAATAAAGAAATTAAGACAAATGCATGTGAAACAAATAATAAGAAGCATATGAAGGAAAAAGAAACAAACTCTGAGAATGATCCTTTAGATAATCAATCAGATAAAAGCAATAATGATTCTGTTGACAAATGTAAACAATCAGAGGAGAGAATTGAGTCACAAGACAAAAGATGCCTAGTAAATAAAGGCAAATCAACAGAAAATAAAACAAAGGCAGTGGAAAAGAGTATGAATAAACACACAAAAGAAAAGAACAAAAATTCCAAAAGTGATCCTTTAGACAATGAGTCAGAAGAGGAATTTAATAATGATGACGCAGTTGACAAAGGTGTGCCCACGGAGGACACCAGTGACTCAGAGAAGGAACAAACGAAACGCAAAAGGAAGAGAAAGCACAGTTACACTAGCAGCTCAGATTCAGACCACTTTCATCACCGAAAGAAGCGTAAAAAGTCCCACAAGCGTAATCGTAAACACAACAGAACCAAAAAACGTAGGAAGCGTAAGAACAGTAGATCCGATTCTAGTGACAGCGATGAAGAATCGGAAAAAGATGGTAAGGATACTCAAGATAGTAAGGACACTAAAGATAAGGATAGTAAAGATGCTGCAGATAGTAAAGCTAATGAGAAATGTGAATCAAGTGGAGAGGGACACAAGGAGGAGGAGGAGGAAGAGGAGCAGGAGGATATAGTGAAACTTAAAAAACATAAAAAACACAAGAAGAAAAGTAAGCATCGTAGAAAGTTAAAACACAAGCGGAAGAAGAAAAAATTGAAATCCAAGAAAAAGGGTGGCAAAAATAGCAGTAGCAGTAGTAGAAGCAGGAGCTCTAGTAGAGATAGAAGTCGAAGCTCTAGCAGAAGCAGAAGTCGGAGTTCCAGTGTGCACAAAAGCAGAAGTTTAAGCAGAGAAGGGCGAAGAAGCTCTAGAAAAAACAAGAAGAGGAGTTCTAACCAACATAGAAGCAGGAGTGCTAGCCAAAATAGAAGCAGAAGTTCTAGCCAAAATAGAAGCAGAAGCTCCAGTAAGGACATTAGCAGAAGTTCTAGCAAGCTTAGAAGCAAAAGTTCCAGCATCCACAGAAGCAGGAGTTCCAGCATCCACAGAAGCAGGAGATCAAATGATCATAGAAGCAGAAGTTCCAGCACTCAGAGAAGCAGCTCTAGTGATCATAGAAGCAGTTCTAGCACACACACGAGTCCCAGCAAGCACAGGGATAGGACTACCAGCAAAAGCAGAAACAAAGGGTCAAGCAAGCATAGCAGTTCTAACAAACACAGAAGCAGGAGTACTAGCAAGCAGAGGAGTAGAAGCCTAAGCAAAAATAGAAGCCATAGTTCCAGTAAAAGTAGTGTCAATAAAAGTCAAAGCATCAGTAGAAGTGGCAAACCAGAGACAAGAAAGAACAGTAATGCAAATACAAAAAATAAAAGCAATAAATCATCCAAGGAGAGTGCATACATGGAGAATTCTCAGCCATTATCAACTCCCATGCCAGTTGATCCATCAAAAATTAAAATGGAGGTTGAAGAGTTAGTTCCTGATTTGTCAATTGTAAAGACTGAAAAGGTGGATGAAGAATTTGTAGATGCACACAGCAAAAAGAAAGACTTGAATAGTATTGAGGATGCAAACCAAAGGCAAAACTATGTTAATGATAAAAGCATGTACTCGAGTAACCATAGATCATCCGGCGGAATAAGAAAAGAATCAGAAAGCTACAGAAAGAAGGACAAAGAACAAATGAAATTAAGCTCAAATGCAGACAGTAAAAGGAGAAACAGCCATGAGAGGAAGAATTCTACTGAGAGCATTTCTGAAAAAACACTGACCTCCATTAGGCGATCAAGTTCAGATTCTAAGAAGAGTGAGACTGACATCTCATCTGACAAGAAGAAAGCAGATAGGAGGCCCAGTACTGACAAAATGAAAAAGGACAAGGTGTCAAACTCTTCAACAGATTCTCAACCCAAAGTCATGTCTATGTTTGACATGGTACTTGCAAACACTCAAACACCAAAGCCAAAAGCCTTCACCGAAATATCTATATTTGATAGCGTGTGTGATAACTACGATGCCAATACAGATTCTTCGGCAGTGCATTCTGAAGATGAAATGAGCCCTGGAGATTCTCATAGTAATGTAATGCAAGAACCGTCACCTCACAAAAAGTCCTCTCAAAGTCATTCTAATTCTAAATCAAAAGCGAGTCTGCATCCACTACAGAAAAAATAATTGATCGTCAGAGATCTGAAGTGACCAATCCCCCAAGAAGAAAAAGTCGTAGCTATTCTAATTCGAGCTCCAGAGATGGCAGAGATGACTCCAAGCGCTCACATTCCTCATCTACCAAACACAAAAGCAATAGTTTTAACCATGATGTAAATACAGATTCTTCACTATCCTCTTCTGAAGATGAAACAAACCATAAAGGTTCTTACAATAGTAAAACTCAAGAACCATCCACCAACAAGAAATCTTATCAAGTCAGTCTAATGGTAAATCAAAAGCGGAATCAGGATCCAAGACAGAAAATACATCAGGGCATCAAAGACCCGAGGGTATCAGTCACTCGAGATCAAGTCGTAGTCATTCTAACTCGAGCTCTAAAGATGGCAAAGATGAAGCCATACACCCACATTCCTCATCTACCAAACACAAGAGCAGCAGCTATAACTACGATGGAAACTCAGATTCTTCGGTATCTCCCTTTGAGGACGAAACGAACCATAGAGGTTCTCGTAATAGTAGAACTCAAGAGTCATCCACCAACAAGAAATCTCAAAGTCAGTCTGATGCTAAATCAAAAATTGAGTCTGGACCCAGAACAGACAACACATCTGATCATCAAAGACCCGAAGGGAAAACTCACTTGAGATTAAGTCGCACTCACTCAAACTCAAGCTCTAAAGACGAGTCCAAGCATTCACATTCCTCAGCCAGCAAGCACAATGCCAGCAGTCATCACAGATCTAGTAACCACCACAGTAGTAGTGGTAGCCATATCAGGGGTAGTGGTACTGGTAGCAGCTCTAGCAAAGCACATCAAAGTAGCACTACCACCAGCAGCTCGTCAAGCAGTAAAAGCAAGAGAAAGGAAAGCAGATCAGAGAGTTCTAGCAATCAGTCTAGTAAGAGCAGCAAACATCACCAAAGCAGTAAGAAGAGCAGTAGCAACAAACACAACAGCAGTAGCAGTATCAACAAACATGAAAGCACTATTGGTAATAAGGAGAAAGGATATACCAATGCTGATGCTAAAAAATCTGGAATGGACAGTAAGGTTGATGAAGCCACCACGAGTAAACATCCACAAGGGCAAGAAGAGTCATCGAGTGGAATTTCAGATAGGGAATCATTTTTTTATAATGGTAAGATTTTGAAAGTGTTTCTTTTTTTGGGTCAGCCTGCCTTGGTGGGAGACAGCCAGTGTGTTGATAAAAAAAAGTTTTAAATGTGTATACAGTAATTGTTTATTGTTAATCTTTGTAATTATCTCAATAATATAGTTCATTTGGTGTGATAATTTTGATGAAGCCTGCAATGTCATTAATAATTTTTGAACACTATTTGCAATTTCTTTTCCAGGTTATCCCTCATCTGGTAATGAAACTGTCTCTTTCCAGTCATTACCTTGCTTCTAGTGGTGAACACAAGTCTCATGTGATTTTCTTGCAATATAGTTATGGGTGATAACCTCCAGATACTTTTAAGTGATGAGCGTAAAATTTAATATGTCCTGTGTTTCAGATACAGGTAATGAGTCGCCCTTACCGTACCTCTCAGAGCTTGATGAGATAACGCTAGACGACCTGGAGGAAATGATGAGCAGTTCAGATAAAGTGGACCTGAGGCATTTAGAGGTATTAATTCTAATCTTTAAGGCATTTATATTTTTATTTTTTTTTTTTTTTTTTTTTCAACAATCGCGTCTCACGAGCAGGTGACCAAAAGAAGAAATCCCAAAAGAAATTTCATATCATTCAACCTTCACACACTGCCATTATCAACATTATCTATTAGTACTTATTAAATATTCTTTGTTTATCATTTATAAGCAATGAGCTGTACTGTTGTGTCCCAAAGCTTTTAGACTTTAACTATGTATGTTAATATTTTTGCTGGTATAACATATTTAGCTATTGTAGCTGTAAAGATCAACAGAATTTATTGGTATATATCTATCTGTCTGTTTATATGCTGGTAATAACCATTACTAATGTCATTAATAACTAAGAATTTATGCATGACGTTATGTTATATTAATCAGCAGAGAGAAGAAATATGTTTTATTGACAGAAATATTTGAAAAGTGATGTTTGGGCACTTGGGACAGGACAGCTGTTGAATGAGTGATGGTGACTGTGTTTCCTCTTTCCATTCACCCTATACTTTGGTATGAAATAACGCATGTGGCAAAAAAAAAAAAAGGAAAAACCTATATGAGTCATTCAGCACTGCAATGCAGAGAGACATAAAGGAGATAATGTAACACAAGGCCTTGTGGTTATAACAGTAATAATAATAATAATACAGCTGTGTAAACACTTTATTAAAATAGAAGGCAGGCTGTTGATAAAAAAGTAATTCGCAAGCTGTTATTATTCAAAGTTTAAGAGTTCAAAAGGGTTCTGTAAGCCAGGGTATCAAAAAAAGTTGATACCTTTGAGCAGAAGATTTTGCAAGTCATGGTCTCAGATGAACCCCAATAGGATGAAGTCGGATAGAGACAATTTGACACCTGTTGAACCTGATTTATTGTACTATAGATTTTTATTTCTGACTGCTCTCTACCTTGAGACCTTAAATTATTTGAGAATGGAACTGTTACCTGCTGCAAATATAGGAAAGATATACAGTACTTGGCTATAATTTTATTAGTTTGTGATTAATAGGAATAAAACAGATAGAGAGAATTAAGGTTTTAGAGTAGATGAAGGAAGCCATTACTGAATATTGAAGCAAGAATTGTATTTTTTTGTCTCTAGTTAATGTATTATTGTATGGCTTTCTAAAGAATTGAGCTAAAGGCTATATAAAAAGAAATGGTGTATTCTTTTATTACTGGCTCCTTTATTTACTGATAATAAAAAGGCACAATACCGTTACTGGAACAATAAACAAATAACCCGCATATAAGAGAAAGAAACTTATGACGACATTTTGGTCTGACTTGGACCATTCACTAGTGTGACTCATTAATGGTCTGAGTCGGACCAAAACGTTGTCATAAGTTTTTCCTATGTGTATTTGTGTATTGTGTATCGTTTCCTTAATTTACTGTTTTAATAGATCTATGGATCGAGTATATGGAGGCTTTGCAAATAGTAAGGGCAAACTGCACCTGAAGTGTCATAAAAATGCCTGAGGACACTGTTTATATATATAAAATTAAATAATTTATATAGAAGAGGTTAAACAAATTAAATCTATTTTATAATAATGGATAATGGATGTATTGCAAGTAAACTTTTATAATACTTTCAAGAAATCTATTTTGTCCTCAGAACTTAGAGGATTCTGATGATAATGACCGCTATGAGTTGGACAAAGATGATCCAGAAGTTATGGAAGAGTGTTTGAAGATGTACAATGAATACCAACCAACTCAGGAAGACTTAAAGGATCACGCGTCATCTAAAAAAGTAAAAAAAAGTCTTTTTTAGTTTTTTTCAGAATAACAAGATATACAGTACTCTTCTTAGAACAACAAAAAGGCACAATACCATGACTGGAACAATACACAAATAACCTGTACATAGGAGAGAAAAACTTATGATGATGTTTTTGGTCTGACTTGGGCCATTAGTCACACAGAAGAGTTCTTCTTTGTGACTTGTTGATAGTCCAAATTGGACCAAACCACCATAAGGTTCTTCCTTCTATGTGCGGGTTATCTGTGTACTTTTCTTGGGATTATGATTATTAATACCCAGCACTCATGGGATACCTTATAATTCTCCCTTATCAGGCCTGAGGCTAGATTCTTTGCTCTTTATTTTTCCCCCTTTCACACACACACAAAAAAAAAGTTTCTGGACAATAACTTAAAATGCTAAAGTTGACTAATTTTAAACATGACACATTTGTTTGCCTAACATAATGTTTAAAAAATTATTTAGTGCTGTACATATGTCATGGGACATAATTATATTAGCTGTGTGTGGTTATTAAAGCTGCACCTCACTTGGATGCTAACATCAGGTCTGGAAAAAATTAAAGTAAACTCGATGGATAGACACTTAAAGATAAGCACCTCAGTGCTGTATGTCGATCTAAATTTGGACTGCCAACAATAAAGAAGAAAAAAACACATTTGCAGAGAGTGCCATTATTTGGGCAAAGTTTTGATCTGTTAAGATCTTTAAGCCCTATAGAGGATGCAGATTGCATACACACATATATATGTATATATACCGCTAGAAGAGGAAAAGATGAAGAGAGTGAAATTATGAATCATGAAATCATAATAACATGATTGAAAACAAACCACAGAATGGGTGGGATTTGAACTCATGGTGAGTGAGTCTTAAAACTCCAGGTCATTGCATGAGCAGTGACTTAAGCACTGGCCTGGAGATTTAGGAGTCATTGCTCTGGTTCAACCCCACCCTTTCCATGGTTTGAGTGAAATTGTGTAGAGTGGGATGAATCGTTAGTCAGAGGAGTATTGCAGTTGAAATGCTGTCTGGTTTCTGGATGGTATGTTTGCCCTATTCCTGCGCAGCTTGATTGCCAAGAATGCCCCAGTAATATGGCATGTTCCAGTGGTTTGGAAGGTGCCAAGAGAGCGTATAAGTATATCACAGTCACTCATGTATGACAGCAAACAAGTTTAGTGTCTCACATAATTACTGTTATAATAATAATAGCAGATGCATATATTCTGTATTCTTTCTAGCTATCAAATGTATTTAGGGAAGGTTGCAGTCTGTCAACGAAGAACCAGATCATCAAGGAAAGCAGCGTATTGCACGAACAGATTCATGTGGAAACCTTATTGCAAAAAAGCCTTTGCAGCGTAAAAAGACTCCTACACAGGTAAGGGTTCATTTATCTCTTACACAGCTAATAATGCAGCCAGGGGACAGCTCCAGAAGTTCATATAAAAGGGACTTAGGGGTAGCATCTGGTTGGAAGAGGGAGCTAGGGAACTTGTCTTCAAACATCATTATTACCACTACCCCTGAATACACCATAATTAAAATAGATTACGGCACTAACTTAATTTCAGCTTCATAAAGATCTTATTCTTTATGAGCTGAATACTAAAAATCTTCCCACATTCATTACTAATTTTTATCATGTTTATATGAATATCACTATTGAATGTTAGTTATTAGAGGGGTGGTACATTTCCTTCATTGGGTCACCTAACTTAGTGAGAAAAGTTTCATGTTCTAAAAAGCAAAAAAAAAGAAATCTGAATAAAGCAGAGCATTGTATTAAAAGGTAGAGATTAATTAAAGGGCTTTGGTTTGACAGAGCACTGGGGGATGCATTGATGCTGGTGAAGAACTCTTGATCCAAGGAATTGGAGCAACTGTTCCCTCCCTTAGAGCAAACCTAATTGCTTTTTATTCCCCAGGCACTCTGTGACCCCTCTAAATTTACACTTGTGTTTTTCTATGAGCTTTGACAGAGTGGTAACTGAATATGTGCCTAGACAGCAAATATATAATTCTATATCCTAAATAACATAATGCTTGGCACATGTAATGACAGAATTGAATAATAAGGGATCTTATTTCAGATGATGATGGAGAGATATCAGAAGCTCAAGGAGCAAAAAGCTAAATATGCTGAGCTCTCAAGGAATCAGAAACAGCAGCAGCGAGTTGGAGAGTCTTCTGCTATGACTCTTAAGTCCCATCCTTCCTCAAGTACACTCCTTATGTCACCACCAAATTCCTCACCAGGTGAGTCAGTGCTATATTCCTACCAGCTATGTCACTGCCTCATTCCTACCAGCTATTTCACTGGTACATTCCTACCAGCTATGTCACTGCCTCATTCCTACCAGCTATTTCACTGGTACATTCCTACCACCTATATCACTGCTGCTTTCCTACCAGCTATTTCACTGGTATACAGTGGAACCTCAAATATCGAACTGCTCCCAACTCGACCAATTATATAAGTGTATTTTTGTAAGTGCTTTTATAAGTGTATTTTTGAGGGTCTGAAATGAACTAATCCAATTTACGTTATTCCTGATGGGAATAAATTCGTTCGGTAATGGCACTCAAACAGCCGTCTGGAACGAAGAAAGTTCGATATTCGAGGTTCCACTGTATTCCTACCACCTATATCACTGCCGCATTCCTACCAGCTATGTCACTGCCTCATTCCTACCAGCTATTTCACTGGTACATTCCTACCACCTATATCACTGCCACATTCCTCCCAGGTGAGTTACTTCTGTATGTGGAGATGTTATGTTTGAGAAGAATGTGTGGTGTGAATATTATGCAGAGAATTTGGAGTGTAGAAATTAGAAGACAGTGTGAGGTTGCTAAAGTTATGAGCTGAGGAAGGGTTGTTGAAGTGGTTTGGATACTTAGAGAGGATAGACAAGAATAGGATGACAAAGAGGAGTAGAAATCTGGTGTCTGGGGTAGAACAAAGGATGGCTAGGGGGTCATCCCAGGAAGGGTTTGGAGGGGCTGGGTAAAGGAGATTTTGAGTGCTTGGGGCTTGAGCATCTATCCAAATCAACCCGGCTGTGAAGGATACGTGGGGCAACAGGCCACCAGCAGCAACAGCCTGGTTGACCAGGCTAGCAGCAGGCGAGCCTGGCCCATGACCGGGCTCTGGGAATAGACTCTTAGAGCTCATTAAAGGTATTATCAAAAGCATGTGTGAGTGTGTTAAACTAGAGTGAGAGGAGACGAGTGGCTTTCATGGCTTCACGAGTTGTTGGAATGTGAGTGTGAGAAGATTCAAGGAAATCTATTAGCTGGACTTGAATCCTGGAGGTAGGAAGTACATTGCCTGCACTCCGTAGGATGGTTGGGAATGTTGCAATTCAGAGCGTCATTTGAATTATACACCTACTATCCGACTTACGACCGAGTTCGGTTCCGAGAAACCGGTCGTAAGTCGAACTTTACTAATGAATATCATCAAAACATTTTTGTAATGACTTTATTTTATTGTTTTATTTTGGTATTTCATGTTTTACTTTACTTTTTATGCTGTTAGTACTGTATTTTATACTGTAAGGTTTAGGATAAACACTGTGTAGAACACAAATAGTTGTTTATTTCCCAGAAATTTGGCATAAAAAACACGGCCGTAAGTCGAGTGGTCGTAAGTCGAGCAGGTCGTAAGTCGGATGATAGGCGTATATGATGTCTGCATACTTGTGGAAAGCCAGCTGTTGAATGAATGATGGTGTATGTGTTAACCTTTTTTTGTTTTATTTGTTGTCACCTTGCCTTGATGGGAGATGCCTGGTATGTTAAAATAACAATAAAATGGCTTGATAAGGAATGCATACAAACAATTTTTTTCAATTCTTCCCGTACAGGTGGATTAAAACGGCGAATCTCGCACGTACCAAATGTCTCATCGCTTCTCCATGCTCGAGAAAGAATCAAGAACTTGCCCCCTCCCAGTTCAAGAACACTGCTTTCTCCAAGTGTAGCTAAAGCCTCCGGTGCTATCCCACAAACCACGGTTCAGACGGCCAAAGGTGGCAAGCGAATAGCACACGTTCCCAGGACTGTAAGTGCCTCAGGCTTTCTGTTAAGAAATGTTTTAAAATAATTCTTTTCATGAAAACTTTGAAGAATGTTAATGCAGCATTAAATTGTAGGTTACTTTTTTTATAGAAAGACGTAGAGATTTTTTGTAGGTACGTAGTAGGTTGGTAGACAGCATCCGCCCAGGGAGGTACTACCGTCCTGCCTAGTGAGTGTAAAATAGAAGTGGAACAGAATTCTTCCTCCGTAAGCCATGTGTGTTGTAAGTGGCGACTAAAATGTCGGGAGAAAGGGCCTAGTAACCCCTTCTCCTGTATACATTACTATAGTTAAAAAGAGAAACTTTTGTTTTTCTTTTTGGGCCACCCTGCTTCAGTGGGATATGACCGGTTTGTTGAAAGAAAGAAGTAGAGATTTTTTCCCAGGGCTTGATTCCTATTGTTTGATTTAACTATTAAACTTCATTCCAGTTGTTTGATTTATGTATTAAACTTTATTCATACTGAGGTGTTAAATTTGACTAGCTCTGAAATTACTACATATACATTTTTGTTAAAAGTAGAATGACATGGAGAGCATTTAAATCGGTAGGAGAAGGAAGACGGGGTAGGGGTCGTTCTTGAAAAGGTTGGAAGGAAGGGGTAAGGGAGGTTTTATGGGCGAGGGGCTTGGACTTCCAACAGGCGTACATGAGCGTGTTCGATAGGAGTGAATGGAGATGAATGGTATTTGGGACCTGACGATCTGTTGGAGTGTGAGCAGGGTAATATTTAGTGAAGGGATTCAGGGAAACCGGTTATTTTTATATACCCGGACTTGAGTCCTGGAAATGGGAAGTACAATGTCTGCACTCTAAAGGAGGGTTTTTGGGATATTGGCAGTTTGGAGGGATATGTTGCGTATCTTTATACGTATATGCTTCTAAACTGTTGTGTTCTGAGCACCTCTGCAAAAACAGTGATTATGTGTGAGTGTGGTGAAAGTGTTGAATGATGATGAAAGTATTTTCTTTTTGGGGATTTTCTTTCTTTTTTTTGGTCACCCTGCCTCGGTGGGAGACGGCCGACTTGTTGGAAAAAAAAAAAATTTGTTAATATACTGTGCTGCTGTATATACATTATGTACACCTACCATCCGACTTACGACCTGCTCGACTTACGACCACTCGACTTACGACTGTTTTTTATGTCAAATTTCTGGGAAATAAACAACTATTTGTGTTGTACACAGTGTTTATCCTAAACCTTACAGAATAAAATACAGTACTAACTACATAAAAAGTAAAGTAAATCATGAAATACCAAAATAAAACAATAAAATAGTCATTCCATTTTTTTTTTTTTTTTTTTTTTTTCAACAAGTCGGTCGTCTCCCACCGAGGCAGGGTGACCCAAAAAAGAAAGAAAATTCCCAAAAAGAAAATACTTTCATCATCATTCAACACTTTCACCACACTCGCACATTATCACTGTTTTTGCAGAGGTGCTCAGAATACAACAGTCTAGAAGCATACACATATAAAGATACACAACATATCCCTCCAAACTGCCAATATCCCAAACCCCTCCTTTAAAGTGCAGGCATTGTACTTCCCATTTCCAGGACTCAAGTCCGACTATATGAAAATAACCGGTTTCCCTGAATCCCTTCACTAAATATTACCCTGCTCACACTCCAACAGATCGTCAGGTCCCAAGTACCATTCGTCTCCATTCACTCCTATCTAACACGCTCACGCACGCTTGCTGGAAGTCCAAGCCCCTTGCCCACAAAACCTCCTTTACCCCCTCTCTCCAACCCTTTCGAGGACGACCCCTACCCCGCCTTCCTTCCCCTATAGATTTATATGCTTTCCATGTCATTCTACTTTGATCCATTCTCTCTAAATGACCAAACCACCTCAACAACCCCTCTTCTGCCCTCTGACTAATACTTTTATTAACTCCACACCTTCTCCTAATTTCCACACTCCGAATTTTCTGCATAATATTTACACCACACATTGCCCTTAAACAGGACATCTCCACTGCCTCCAACCGTCTCCTCGCTGCTGCATTTACCACCAAAGCTTCACACCCATATAAGAGTGTTGGTACTACTATACTTTCATACATTCCCTTCTTTGCCTCCATAGATAACGTTTTTTGACTCCACATATACCTCAACGCACCACTCACCTTTTTTCCCTCATCACTTCTATGATTAACCTCATCCTTCATAAATCCATCCGCTGACACGTCAACTCCCAAGTATCTGAAAACATTCACTTCTTCCATACTCCTCCTCCCAATTTGATATCCAATTTTTCTTTATCTAAATCATTTGACACCCCCATCACCTTACTCTTTTCTATGTTCACTTTCAACTTTCTACCTTTACACACATTCCCAAACTCATCCACTAACCTTTGCAGTTTTTCTTTAGAATCTCCCATAATCACAGTATCATCAGCAAAAAGTAACTGTGTCAATTCCCATTTTGAATTTGATTCCCCAAAATTTAATCCCACCCCTCTCCCGAACACCCTAGCTTTTACTTCCTTTACAACCCCATCTATAATTATATTAAACAACCATGGTGACATTACACATCCCTGTCTAAGACCTACTTTTACCGGGAAGTAGTCTCCCTCTCTTCTACACACCCTAACCTGAGCCTCACTATCCTCATAAAAACTCTTTACAGCATTTAATAACTTACCACCTATTCCATATACTTGCAACATCTGCCACATTGCTCCTCTATCCACTCTATCATATGCCTTTTCTAAATCCATAAATGCAATAAAAACTTCCCTACCTTTTTCTAAATACTGTTCACATATATGCTTCAATGTAAACACTTGATCTACACATCCCCTACCCACTCTGAAACCTCCTTGCTCATCCGCAATCCTACATTCTGTCTTACCTCTAATTCTTTCAATTATAACCCTACCGTACACTTTTCCTGGTATACTCAGTAAGCTTATTCCTCTATAATTTTTACAGTCTCTTTTGTCCCCTTTCCCTTTATATAAAGGGACTATACATGCTCTCCGCCAATCCCTAGGTACCTTCCCCTCTTTCATACATTTATTAAACAAAAGTACCAACCACTCCAACACTATATCCCCCCCTGCTTTTAACATTTCTGTCATGATCCCATCAGTTCCAGCTGCTTTACCCCCTTTCATTTTACGTAATGCCTCACGTACCTCCCCCACACTTACATTCTGCTCTTCTTCACTCCTAAAAGATGGTATACCTCCCTGACCAGTGCATGAAATTACTGCCTCTGTTTCTTCCTTAACATTTAAAAGTTCCTCAAAATATTCTTGCCATCTACCCAATACCTCTATCTCCCCATCTACTAACTCCCCTACTCTGTTTTTAACTGACAAATCCATATTTTCCCTAGGCTTTCTTAACTTGTTTAACTCACTCCAAAATTTTTTCTTATTTTCATTAAAATTACAAAAATGTTTTGTTGATATTCAGTAGTAAAGTTTGACTTACGACCATTTCGACTTACGACCGGTTTCTTGGAACCGAACTCGGTCGTAAGTCAGATGGTAGGTGTATATGTATATTTTTGTTTCATAAATCTTAATTTTCTCATATGTAAACATATGCTAAAAATTATCTTTTCTTGTTAGGTGATCAGACCAGATTATTACTGGACTTTTAATAAATCTTTGATTAAACAGCAATAACTATTTTATAGCATGATATAAGTTTATATTTTATATTTCAGGAAACACTGGCAAGACCTATTATCCCAGCTGAGTTTGGCAGTAAGGTTCCGCAGAATATTAGGCAACGGTACCTCAATTCTTTAATCGATGAATGCCTAAAGTTTACTGGAGAGAAGGATGCCTTCAATATTGTAAGTTACTCGAGTTACGGAGCATTACAGGTGCTCATCAACTTATGATGGGGTTGCGTTCCGACGAACCCATTGTAAGTTCAAAATATCATAATTCGATAATAAATAAATAAGTAAATAACTACTGTCACTGAATAATGAACAAATAATTACTGTAACTAAATAGCAGTATTGAAATGTAAGTAAATGAATACAAGTTACGGACTTGCCGCCTTCATCCTGGCTAATTAATTATCTTAAGTTTCATCTCGCTATTGTAAAGTCGAAATATTGCAAGTTGAACCATCCTAACTCAAGAAGCACCTGTTATGTAGGTCAGGAGTAATTCCAGGAGACACATATGGAAGGAGCTTAAGGATGGTAATCTGGTTGCAAGACTAGGGGGCTTTTCTCAAAGCATTATTATTATATTATTACAGTGGACCCCCGCTTAACGATCACCTCCCAATGCGACCAATTATGTAAGTGTATTTATGTAAGTGCGTTTGTACGTGTATGTTTGGGGGTCTGAAATGGACTAATCTACTTCACAATATTCCTTATGGGAACAAATTCGGTCAGTACTGGCACCTGAACATACTTCTGAAATGAAAAAATATCGTTAACCGGGGTTCCACTGTATTATTATTATTATTATTATTATTATTATTATTATTATTATTATTATTATTATTATTATTATTATTATTATTATTATTATTATTATTATTGTATATTTTTATTTGGGGGCTGAAGTCTTACATTTCCCTCCTGATAATTACTTTTTGTTGTGATCTTTGAATTTATTTACATATAGTAAACTTTTGATGTAACAAACTAATAATGGCGATTATCCAAGTGCTCGCTCAATCAGAATAATGTTAAAAAACAGTAAAAAAAAAACACTGAAGTATAGTCTACTATGTACTTAATATAGCACTATACACACAGTTGAAAGATATACTACAAAAAACATTGAAAATAAAGGAGTTAAATATAGTATAAAGTTTTCCCAGTGAATTTTGCTCTGTATTTTAAAAGTTCTTTATATTGAGGTCTGTTATATCAAGTGGTTACTCTGTCTGTATTTGTTTATTGACAATAAATTTATCCATAAGCTATAAATGGAAATGTTATAACAACTACAAAGTTTAACTGATGAAAATATTATAGCAATTAGAAAGTTTAATTGATGAAAGTGTTGAATGTTGATGAAAGTATTTTCTTTTTGAGGATTTTCTTTCTTTTTGGGGATTTTCTTTCTTTTTGGGTCACCCTGCCTCAGTGGGAGACGGCCAGCTTGTTAAAAAAAAAATATATAACAATTACCAAGTTCATGTGTTTCTTTCAAGGCTGCAGCTGAAGAACACACGTGTTACAAACGTGCATCGTCTCGCATGGTGTACTTAAACCTCACCGTTAATGCCATCAAGCGCTTGCGGACGCAGCAGAAGGCAGGAGAAGCTGCTCAGGAACTCCTTGATAAAGACCCACAATGTAAGTCTTGAAGGATGTAAGTGAACTAGTTCAACTTTGTTACATCCTTTTTTTGTTTTTTTTCTTTTAACATGTCGACCATTTCCTACCGAGGCAGGGTGTCCCAGAAAAGAAAAAAAAACTTTAATCATCATTCAACACTTTCATCATCATTTATACACAATCACTGTCTATGCAAAAGCACTCAGATATGACAGTTTAGATATCACTCCAAACAGCCAATATGACAAACCCCTCATTTAAAGTGCAGGCATTGTACTTCCTATCTCCAGGACTCAAGTCTGGCTAACCTTAATGGTTTTTGGAAATGTGGGAGGTTTAATGCTTAGTTTTTATTGTAACTTTTTTTTTTCTTTTTAACATACTGGTTGTCTCCCACCGAGGCACGGTGACTTGAAGGGGTTACTAGCCCCTTGCTTCCAGCATTTTAGTCGCCTCTTATGACACTTATGGCTTACGGAGGAAGAATTCTTCTGTACTTCCCCAAGGAGATTGTAATTTCCAATTATTATAATTGGAAATACGGGTGAAAATCCCCTGGGTCAGTTGATGTGGAAACAGTGGACCAAGTCTTGGTTACACAGTTGGCCATTATTGTTGCAGTCATAGCAGAGCAATCTCCTCTCTATCATCCACAGCCACCATTAACAACCACCTGCTTTCCCCTAGTCATCCACTAAATCAAAGGTTTACTGTACAGTACTTTAATTCTACTTTGTGTGTATGTAGGAAAGATTTTCTTTATTGATCTTTTCATAAGTAACCCACAATTTGGAGAAGTAACCTCAGATAACATATCAGTCTGTCCTGGACTATTATCAGTTCTAATGTTTCCTCTCCAAATTATTGTAGTTTATCCTGCAATGTCTCTCCAATATAAAGGGCAGCCCAGCCGAGGAATGCATTGCATTCCTGGTGTTCCAGTACACAAATGAGTTATTAGTAACTTGTAATGTTTTTTTTTCCTTATAGAAAACATTACTACTGAGGATGTTTGTGTGCCACACACATTCATAATGGCATATCAACATTTGTAAGGCAATTATTTTGAAGATATTTCTCATAGACCTTTTTCATAAACATAAATGTTCTTAACTTGAGTGTTTATAGGTTGAGGTCCCTCTGTACTTTGCTCTTTATTTGTGTCTGTTCATTTTTTTTTGTTTTCAACAAGTCGGCCGTCTCCCACTGTTCATATTCTCTCTAATTTCACCATTATCCTGTTTGTTTATTTGTCTCAGTTTTGTTTTTTGTACAATATTTGCTGTTTAGAATGACATCTAAACTGTCATATCTATGTGCCTTTGGCAAGACAGTGATAGTGTGAATGACTCTAAGAGTGTTTCTTTTTTGGGTCACCTTGCCTCAGTGGGAAATGACCAGCATGTTAAAAAAAATAAAAGTTTGCTTCCTTGCCATGTGATTACTTAGGGCAGGGACCATTAATGGTTACTACCATCCTCCTGCTATATAAGCATGGAACAGAAGCCCATTAAAATATTTTGCACTCTTGTGGGACTGCTCGTGTTTTTGTTCTCTCACACACAAGTGTAAGATGGCAGGTAATGAAATTTAATGAATTAATGTTTCTTTAATTCTTTCTGGTATTTCACAGGGAGGCCTGGTCATGGACCGGGCTGCAGGGATAGTTGTCCCGGTGCCCCCCAGTAGGTATCTAATAATTATTTTTCTTTTTAACGTGTTGCAGTTGCTGACTTTGTTGTTGAAGAAACATCACTTCGGTTCGCCCTCAACTTCTAGCGCTGCATCATCACAAGGCATTGGGGCAAAATCCAACCCCACCAATCTCAATCAAGTGAAATTGTCTCACTTCACAGTTCTGGCAGGTGGAGGGCAGAGGGGTTCCTGGAGCATTGAAAAGCCCAAAAAAATTACAAATGTTTCCAAGAATTTTTAAAAAAAGGAAGTTACAATTTTCACTCTTTTTTCATCTCTTAGTAATGGAGACATTAATGTATCATATTTAACTAATGATATTCTGAAATTGTTTCAAATTTAAACTTTAAAAAGGAATTATCATGTATATACAATGAGTTATAGTAATCGTACTTGAAACATCGTCATCATATTTTAATGACAATCTTATGTATGACTAGGTGAAGCTTTCTACAAGCTTATGATGAAGTATGTCCTCTCAAGTGAGCATCTTGAGCAAAATGGATATCCATTACCGGATCCAGATGTGAAGGGCAAAGCTATTACAAAGGCGGTAGGAATTTTGGTTTTTACTCTCTTAAATTTGCTTGCAAAGAATGGTTAACCTAACTTAACTCATTTCAAAGCAGAATTGTGTTTAAGGTATACTACCACTACTACATGCTGTGGCTTATAACTGTTGGCTGACATTTAGTGTACATGTTTACTGGAGTGAATGGAGACGAATGGTTTTTGGGACCTGACGAGTGTTGGGTGTGATTAGGGTAATTTTTGGAAAGGGGATTCAGGGAAATCAGTTAGCCGACTTGAGTCTGAAAAGGAAAAAATGCCTGCACTTAAAAGAGGGGTTTGGGATTTTGGGCAGTTTGGAAGGAATCTAAATTGTTATATTTGATCCCTCTACAAAAACAGTATTTGTATGGTGTGGTGAAAGGTTGAATTAATGAGAAAGTTTTTATTTCTTTTGGGATTTTCTTTCTTTTTGGGTTACCCTGCCTCAGTGGGAAATGGCTGAGTTTTAAAAAAATTACTGGTAGATGAACAGGTGCAGCAGGTGTATATCTTGTTTCACCTGGAAGTGAACCCAGGTCCTTTTGGTTGTGAGTAGCATGTTGTAATGTTGAGCTGCAGGTCTGTTGTCTATCTTGATTTAACTCCATTAACATTAAAGTTGTCTTCACTGTATTGCTATTTAATTTTTTTGCAAGTATTTAATGGTTATTCTAGCCTTATTCATTTACTTCAATATCTCTTGGTCTTTAATGAGCTTTGGTTTTTTCTTTTGGGCCACCCCGCCTCGGTGGGATACGGCCGGTGTGTTGAAAGAAGAAAGAATATACACAATAGTGTTGTTATTTAGGCAAGGTTAAACAGCATTTCTGTTGTAAACTATAATCATGAAGACATGCTAAACCCATAAGGGTCATCAGCACCTGGGGAATTATAGCACTCAGGCATTATTCAAGGGGGGAGAGTGCAGCTCTTTTTCCTTAAAGGACTCTTCACTAGCACCAAGACAGCCCCTTGAAGGCAACACTTCTATTACACTCATCCACTGGAAGCACCTGAATTATAACTCTGATATTTATAAATTTCTGACCTTTGGTCACTAGTTTCTTCCTACGGACGTGTAGACTGCAAGTAATAGGTAGTTTTTGTGTTTGCATGTGTATTAGATAAACTGTTATAGTTACCTGTTCATGGTGCCCTGTTTGTCAGTGTCTTCATTCTGAATGAGGGGTGATGATGTTACATGAGGGGTGAGGATGTAGCATGAGGGGTGAGGATGTAGCATGAGGGATGAGGATGTTGCATGAAGGGTGAGGATGTCACATGAAGGGTGAGGATGTCACATTAAGGGTGAGGATGTTACATGAGGGGTGAGAATGTAGCATGAGGGATGAGGATGTTGCATGAAGGGTGAGGATGTCACATGAAGGCTGAGGATGTCACATGAAGGCTGAGGATGTTACATGAGGGGTGAGGATGTAGCATGAGGGATGAGGATGTTGCATGAAGGGTGAGGATGTCACATGAAGGGTGAGGATGTCACATGAAGGGTGAGGATGTCACATGAAGGGTGAGGATGTCACATGAAGGCTGAGGATGTCACATGAGGGGTGAGGATGTTGCATGAAGGGTGAGGATGTCACATGAGGGGTGAGGATGTAGCATGAGGGATGAGGATGTCACATGAGGGGTGAGGATATAGCATGAGGGATGATTATGTCACATGAGGGGTGAGGATGTTGCATGAAGGGTGAGGATGTCACATAAAGGGTGAGGATGTTGTATGAGGGGTGAGGATGTTGCAGTTTAGAGGGGTCTTCTGAATTGTGGTGTCAGCACTCTTCTGGCACAACAGTGATTGAGTGAATGACTGAATGTGTTCCTTCATTTTTGGGTTACTTTACCTCAATCAGAGATGGCCAGTGTATGTATCAAAGAGAAGAATGTTGGTTGTAGCATTTACTGCTACTTTGGTCCCACTCTGGTTTGCTGTCACTACTTGTCAAGAAAAACTTTTGGCTCCATATTTTCAGTTGGTAAATTGTGGTCTCTTGTTCTAACTATTGATGGGGTCAAGAAGTCATCTCTATTTCTTTTCTCATATCCTGTTTATCATGTCTCATTTTCTGCTTGTAGCCAATAGCTGATTCTTTAGCATTTTTCAGTTTTAGTAAGTTTTATTTTTGTCTTTGGGAGTCATATTGTAAAATATAGTAGAATGGCTCATGATTGATTTTTTTCATCTCCACATGTTTGGTGCAAACACCACACTACTACCACTGCATATTTCTATTCTGACCTAATGTATGTTGTGAACCTTTTATTTTTTAAGCATTTCTTCATATGTTTAAAGATTGTTTTGATGTGTGTCAGTGTTGCATTTGGCATTCTCATAATTTCATATATGTGTTTTTTCTTGCTACAGTCTGCATACTTATAATAACTTTAGATAAACTCTTCTCTCTCCCTTTCCCCCCCACTCATACACACACACACACACACACACACACACACACACACACACACACACACACACACACACACACACACATACACATGCACACACACACACACACATGCACACACTTGTGCATTTTCAATATTTTATCCCTTTAAGGATGGTGCCTTGATGCTGATAAAGGGCTCTTAATCCACAGAGATAAAGTTACCTACACTTGGATTGCTCTTACTTCTCCTTTTTCCTAAGTGTTGTATGGTCCTTAGGGGTTTTAGCACTTCCCCATAAATATAATAATTCACTGGTTTATTTTTAAAATTTTATGAAAGTTTTGGTCATAAAGGAATGGATCATTAAATACAGGTTTCGCAATGCAGGTTGACACTCGCAAGAAAATAAGTCCAAGCTCCGTTGAACGTTATTGTGCCCGTTGCAGTGCACTATATATGATCGACAAGTGGGGATTTCCCACGTCTGTGGGCCCCTGCGTTCACCACTGGGGTCGTGCCTACAAACGCAGAACTTACAGTGGTTTTGAAGCTCGTTATTCCTGCTGTGGCGGAGATCTGGAGTCTGAAGGTTGTTGCCAGGCCACCACTCACGTCTCCGAGAACTACAATCCTAACGAGCTTCACGGCTACGTCCGAACACTTCCCAAAGAGATCAAAGGAAACGACCCAGGAGTTTATGCCCTGGGTAATTAATACATGCATACTTTTTTCAAATTAGAACAGTTTTACTAAATAGATGTTTTAATCTGTTTTACAGTTCATGAAAAGGTGAAATTTATTGCGTAAGTCATTTTAGTTTATAGAGTTTAGTTTTTTCCTTGTAGCTGTATTATTTTTATAATCATTTTACTAAAAATATTCCTTTTAATTTCTTTTTTCAATGAACTGGCCATATCCCACCAAGACAGGGTGACCTAAAAAGAAAAACAAAAGTTTGTCTCTCTAAATTTTGTAATATATTCTGAAGGGGGTTATTAGCCCCTTGCTCCCGGCATGTTAGTCATTTCTTACAGCACACAGCTTACGGAGGAAGAATTCTGTTTCACTTCTCCATTGAGATTCCTTTTAATTATTACTTGTTATCTAAGGCTTACAGTATGCAAATAACTTGCACATAGGAGAATGGAGCTTATGATGATGCTTAAGTCCACTTACACCATTAACTAGTTGCAAAAAGTGTTTTTCTGCGTGATTACTTATGGGACCCATTAGTTTCCTTGTCTCCTAATATGTTCATTTTCCCCTATAATCTACCTTGTCCATAATTACTATCGTATTTACTTTGTCTGCTTTCCTAAGGTAAAGTCTAGGATCTTTCCTTAATTCATGGTATATCTTAGCAAAGCTCAGACTTCTACAACGTAGTTGTCCTCAAAGATTTGTTAAGTTGTACCATGAATTAAGGAAAGATCCTGGACTTCACCTCAGGAAAGCAGACAAAGTAAATATGGTAGTAATTATGGACAAGGTAGATCACAGGGAAAAAATGAACATATTAGGAGACAGGGAAACTTACGTTGCCCTTAACCCTTTGGGGGTTGACAGGCCCTCTCCGAGACTTGTTCTCAGGGGGTCGGCCAAATTTCAAAAAAAAAAAAAAAATATTTTTTCTTATGAAAGATAGAGGATCTTTTCCCGATCATAATGACACCAAAAGTATGAAATTTGATGGAAAACTTAGGGAATTATACTCTCACAAAGTTAGCGGTCTTGACGATGTTTATGCATTGGCAATTTTGCCCACTTTGAGCCCTATTTTCGGCCAATTCCAATGTACTAGTCGACAAAAATCATAACTATTTTGCTAGAACTCAATTTTTTCTATCGAATGAGTACAAGAAACCACCCATTTACTGATTTCAACTATCCAATACAATGGTCAGAATTTAGCAATTTTGCCAATTTCACACAAATTTCAAAAGATGCCAATTTCCGAATAGTGTCCAGAATAAACAAGAAAGACATTCCTGGCAGTAAAATAACAAGTTCTCTGTTCATTAGTCACATCCCCAGGCCCCTCTTACATTCTTTGGCTTTCCACTTTGAATTTTTATTCTTACAAAAAAAAAAGATTTACTGTTACGCAGACTACTGCATTAGTGTAGAAATGGTATAAATAATATCACGCACTTGTGAAAGAATATTAGGGCTCACCAGTTGACGTGTATTGGACGCTTGGCATGATTTGTTTACTTTGAACTTTGGTAAAAATCGAGCATTTCTGCTACTTTGCGCTCAATTTCAAGGTACTTTTCATTGTAAAACCAGTCAAAATCATCTCAATTTCTGTAATATGTCTTCCATTCTATAAAATGAGACCAAGAAAACTAGAATACAACAATAAATACCATACAAAAATACAGTGCAAAGTCTCTGTTTTATTCCAAAAATATGGTCAAAGTTTTTTTTTCTCATTACGCACTGTGTGCTGCAGGATTTTTTTTTTATACTGTGCACACTGACCACATAGACCCATTCTTTCATATGTAGGCCTACCAGCTTTCTCTCACTAGATTTGAGGGCGCTAAATTTAGGCATACTAGTACGTCAAAAACCCTGGGTCGTAAGCCGTGCTAGTACGGCCGAAACCCCCAAAGGGTTAATATTCCAAGTTGGACCAAAACGTCATAAGTTTCATTCTCCTATGTATAGGTTATTTGTGTATTGTTCCAGTTACAGTATTATGCCTCTGTATTCTCTAAGGTTTGTATGTTTTTATTTGCACTTTGTGTGGACGTGTTAAGAGTGAATGGAGACGAATGGTTTTTGGGCACCTTACGAAATTGTTGGAGTGTGAACATTGTAATATTTTGTGAAGGGATTCAATGAAACCTGTTAGCTGGACTTGAGTCCTGGAGATAGGAAGTACAGTGCCTGCATTTTAAAGGAGGGGTTTAGGATATTTGCTGTTTGGAGTGACATCTGAACTGTCGTATCTGCGTACCTCTACAAAGACAGTGATTATGTGTGAATAGTGGTGAAAGTGTTTTTTTTTATTGGGCCACCCTACCTCGGTGAGAGACGGCCAGTGTGTTGAAAAAACAAATTGCACTTTGCCCTTTTTTTTTTTCAACACGTCGGCCATCTCCTACTGAGGCAGGATCGCCCAAAGTAGAAACATTTTCGCCATCATTCAACACTTTCACCATCATTCAACACTTTCACCATCATTCATACATAATCACTGTCTTTTCAGAGGCGCCCAGATATGACAGTACAGATGCTGCACCAAGCAGCCAATATCCTAAACCCCTCTTTTGAAGTGCAGCCATTATACTTCCCACTAACCGGTTTTCCTCAATCCCTCCACAAAACATTACCCTGCTCGCACTCCAACAGTTCATTGGATCCTAAAAACCATTTGTCTCCATTCATGCCCATCTAACACACTCACACATGCCTGCTATATGTCCAAGCCCCTTGCACACAAAGCTTATATCATGTATTATTCCATCTATTTGACCTCATTCATTGTGGCTTTACAGATTGTGAGATGTGTTATACTACTGGAGGAAACGAACTCACTCGAGTGACTGTCATTAATGTAGAAGGAAATACCGTCTATGAACATTTAGTAAAACCAGAGAACCCAATTATTGATTACAATACCAGGTAAAAAACTTTATTTACCTTAGTGGCTTTCACAGTTAGCAACTGGCACCTAGAATATATATTTATGATGGGGCTTGCTTATAAATTTTTTAATTTTGCATTCAAGACAAAATGTATAATATTGATATTTCAGAGCATTTTGAGGCATTTTCTGATGTAATTGAAAATTTGGCAACAATATGAATACATATAATTGATGTTATACAGTAGAACCCCCGTATCCACTGATTCGGTATCAACATCTTCAGTTATCCATGGTTTACTGTGACCCAGAAATACTTTTTAATTTTGCATAATAATGGCCCCAAAGCACAAAAGTAGAGAAGCTGGCAGTTCTTCAAAGCCTAATAGAAGCCATAAAGTGCTTTCCATCAGAGAAAAGTGATGTCTCCACTTAATGTGCGTAATTTATCAATTAATCTCTATAATAGGTATGTATAGGACTTATACATAGGGTTTGCTACTATCCACAGTTTCAGTACCTGCGGCAGGTCCTCGGAACGTATTCCCTGTGGATACGGGGGTCCTACTGTATTGGGTAGAAACAAATTATAATTTAAAATCAAATTTGCTCTCTAAAGTTCATTTTAAAGAAAAAATAAATCTTATGCTATGTGGCTAATGTTGTTTATTACAGATATTATATTTAAAATCAAGTAGAGAAAATAGTAAAATCTTCTATAAAATATATTGAATTATATTCAGTTTTATTGCTCTTTATGAATGAAAATCTTTCATTACTTTATTCACTCTTTACACTCTTTCTCACTCTTCTGTAGTTATATTTGGCTTCGTGTTATTTTTTGAATGAAATTTGAAGATTTTTGCAACTGGAATATCTTGTGAAGGGAAATTTTTTCTTCATAATTTGAATTATGCTCGTTTGTCATTTCTTGTTTGAATACATAAGAACATAAGAAAGGAGGAACACTGCAGCAGGCCTGTTGGCCTGCTGTAGTGTCTTTCTCCTTTTTGTCTTTCTTCTTTCTTAAAATAATTAAAATCAGAATTACATATCTGATTGACTCATGAAATCGTAATGACACGATTGCAAACAAACCACGGTGTGGGTGGGGATTGAATTTGTGGCTAGTGAGTCATAAAACTCCAGACCAGTGCATTATTGTAGCCAGCTGTCCTAGTGGCTAATGCGCCAGTTTGGAGTTTTACAATTTACTACCCTTCCCTTTCCTTGCATTAAATCTGATTACTGTGCCTCCCTTTACCAGGTTTTCAGGGATAACGGAAGGTGACATGGTCGATGTGAAAACAACAATATTAGATGTTCAGGCAGCCTTGTTAACCCTATTCTCAGATAAGACTATCCTTGTTGGTCACAGTCTTGAATCTGATTTTCATGCACTCAAGGTAAGAGGATATTAAAAGTCCTCAACTTACAAACACATTGAGAATCTTCTGTATTGTGCATAATGTCATTATTTTATCATTATTGTGTATAATGTCTTTTTTTTTTTTTTTTTTTTTTTAACAAGTCGGCCATCTCCCACCAAGGTAGGGTGACCCAAAAAGAAAGAAAATCCCCAAAAAGAAAATGCTTTCATCATCATTTAACACTTTCACCTCACTCACACATAATCACTGTTTTTGCAGAGGTGCTCAGGACACAACAGTTTAGAAGCATATACGTATAAAGATACACAACATATCCCTCCAAACTGCTACTGTAGGTAGTAGGTTGGTAGACAGCAATCACCCAGGGGGGGTACTACCGTCCTGCCAGGTGAGCGTGAAACGCAAGCCTGTAATTGTTTTACATGATGGTAGGATTGCTGGTGTCTTTTGTCTGTCTCATAAATATGCAAGATTACAGGTATGTCTTGCTACTTCTACTTACACTTAGGTCACACTGCACATACGTGTACATGTTTATTTATACACACTCATCTGAGTTTTCTTTGATTTTATCTTAATAGTCCTTGGTCTTATTACTTTTCATTTTATATCCATGAGGAAGTGGAATAAGAATCTTTCCTCCGTAAGCCATGCGTGTTGTAAAAGTCAACTAAAATGCCAGGAACAATGGGCTGGTAAACCCTTTTCCTGTAATAATTACTAAAAAGACTAAGAAATTTTTTTTTTTTTTAACAAACCGGCCGTATCCCACCAAGGCAGGGTGGCCCAAAAAGAAAAACAAAAGTTTCTCTTTTTAAATTTAGTAATTTATACAGGAGAAAGGGTTACTAGCCTCTTGCTCCTGGCATTTTAGTCGCCTCTTACAACACGCATTGCTTATGGAGGAAGAATTCTGTTCCACTTCCCCATGGAGATAAGAGGAAATAAACACAAACAAGAACTAGAAAGAAAATAGCAGAAAACCCAGAGGGGTGTGTGTATATATACTAGTATGCTTGTACATGTATGTGTAGTGTGACCTAAGTGTAAGTAGAAGTAGCAAGACATACCTGAAATCTTGCATGTTTATGAGACAGAAAAAAGGACACCAGCAATCCTACCATCATGTAAAACAATTACAGGCTTTCGTTTTACACTCACTTGGCAGGACGGTAGTACCTCCCTGGGCAGATGCTGTCTACCAACCTACTACCTAGGAATAAGAAGTTAATGTCATTATTATATATTATTATACACTACAGAAGACCCCCAACGTGTTCGTAAGTTGAAGACTTCCTGTATTGTGAATATTATACACAATTCAGGAGGTCCCCAATGTGTTTGTAAGTCGAGGGCTTACTATATTTGAAGAATTCATTTATGATTAACTTCTGCAGTATCCTCAGGCTTTGTTTTGATTTAACTAATCAGTAGAGACTTGTAGTGCTATCTTTTTCTGCAAACAGGTACAGTACAGGAGGGCCCCACATATACATCACCTTCTTTTCGGTGTTCCACATTGCTGTTAGCTTCAGATTGAACCATTCATTATGTTCCACATGCTGGAACAATGGCTCAGTTGAAAGCCAGCAAAAACGTGGAATACTGAATATAGGTTCTGTATATGCTGGGCTTTCCTGCCAAGTGAGTGTAAAACGAAGCCTGTGATTGTTTTACATGATGGTAGGATTGCTGATGTCTTTTGTCTGTCTCATAAATATGCAAGATTACAGGCATGTCTTGCTACTTCTACTTACACTTAGGTCACACTACACATACATGTACACATTTATTTATACACACTCATCTGAGTTTTCTTTGATTTTATCTTAATAGTTCTTGGTCTTATTAATTTTCCTTTTATATCCATGGGGAAGTGGAATAAGAATCTTTCCTCCGTAAGCCATGCGTGTTGTAAAAGTCAACTAAAATGCCGGGAACAATGGGCTAGTAACCCCTTTTCCTGTAAAGATTACTAAAAGAATAAGAAGAAGAAAAAATTTTCAAAGTGGGAAGTCTGAATGGCGTGGATGTTGTGCAGATGATAAGAAAGAGATGATTGTGGATGTTATGAATGAGAAGAAGCTGGAGTCCTGGCTTTAAGTGAAACAAAGCTGAAGGGGGTGGGAGAGTTTCAGTGGAGAGGAATAAATGGGATTAGGGCAGGGGGTTTTAATAGAGTTAGAGCTAAAGAAGGAGTAGCAATAATGTTGAAGGATAAGCTATGGCAGGGGAAAAAAGGGACTATAAATGTATTAATTCAAGGATTATGTGGAGTAAAATAAAGATTGGATGTGAAAGTGGGTTATAAAAAAAGCGTGTATGCACCTGGAGAAGAGAGAAATGTAGAGGAAGAGAGAGAATTTTGGGAAATGTTGAGTGAATGCGTGGGGGGTTTTGAATCAAGTGTGAGAGTAATGGTGGTTGGGGATTTTAATGCTAAAGTGGGTAAAATTGTTATGGAGGGAGTAGTAGGTAAATTTGGGGTGCCAGGGTAAATGTAAATGGGGAGCCTTTAATTGAGCTATGTGTAGAAAGAAATTTGGTAATAAGTAATACATATTTTATGAAAAAGAGGATAAATAAATATACAAGGTATGATGTAGCACGTAATGAAAGTAGTTTATTAGATTATGTATTGGTGGATAAAAGGTTGATGAGTAGGCTCCAGGATGTACATGTTTATAGAGGGGCAACTGATATATCGGATCATTATTTAGTTGTAGCTACAGTTAGAGTAAGAGGTAGATGGGAAAAGAGGAAGGTGGCAACAACAAGTAAGAGGGAGGTGAAAGTGTATAAACTAAGGGAGGAGGAAGTTCGGGTGAGATATAAGCGGACTATTGGCAGAAAGGTGGGCTAATGCAAAGATGAGTAGTGGGGGGGGTTGAAGAGGGTTGGAATAGTTTTAAAAATGCAGTATTAGAATGTGGGGCAGAAGTTTGTGGTTATAGGAGGGTGGGGGCAGGAGGAAAGAGGAGTGATTGGTGGAATGATGAAGTAAAGGGTGTGATAAAAGAGAAAAAGGTAGCTTATGAGAGGTTTTTACAAAGCAGAAGTGTTATAAGAAGAGCAGAGTATATGGAGAGTAAAAGAAAGGTAAAGAGAGTGGTGAGAGAGTGCAAAAGGAGAGCAGATGATAGAGTGGGAGAGGCACTGTCAAGAAATTTTAATGAAAATAAGAAAAAATTTGGAGTGAGTTAAACAAGTTAAGAAAGCCTAGGGAAAATATGGATTTGTCAGTTAAAAACAGAGTAGGGGAGTTAGTAGATGGGGAGATGGAGGTATTGGGAAGATGGCGAGAATATTTTGAGGAACTTTTAAATGTTAAGGAAGAAACAGAGGCAGTAATTTCATGCACTGGTCAGGGAGGTATACCATCTTTTAGGAGTGAAGAAGAGCAGAATGTAAGTGTGGGGGAGGTACGTGAGGCATTACGTAAATGAAAGGGGGTATAAAGCAGCTGGAACTGATGGGATCATGACAGAAATGTTAAAAGCAGGGGGGGATATAGTGTTGGAGTGGTTGGTACTTTTGTTTAATAAATGTATGAAAGAGGGGAAGGTACTAGGGATTGGCAGAGAGCATGTATAGTCCCTTTATATAAAGGGAAAGGGGACAAAAGAGACTGTAAAAATTATAGAGGAATAAGCTTACTGAGTATACCAGGAAAAGTGTACGGTAGGGTTATAATTGAAAGAATTAGAGGTAAGACAGAATGTAGGATTGCGGATGAGCAAGGAGGTTTTAGAGTGGGTAGGGGATGTGTAGATCAGGTGTTTACATTGAAGCATATATGTGAACAGTATTTAGATAAAGATAGGGAAGTTTTTATTGCATTTATGGATTTAGAAAAGGCATATGATAGAGTGGATAGAGGAGCAATGTGGCAGATGTTGCAAGTATATGGAATAGGTGGTAAGTATATTAAATGCTGTAAAGAGTTTTTATGAGGATAGTGAGGCTCAGGTTAGGGTGTGTAGAAGAGAGGGAGACTACTTCCCGGTAAAAGTAGGTCTTAGACAGGGATGTGTAATGTCACCATGGTTGTTTAATATATTTATAGATGGGGTTGTAAAGGAAGTAAATGCTAGGGTGTTTGGGAGAGGGGTGGGATTAAATTATGGGGAATCAAATTCAAAATGGGAATTGACACAGTTACTTTTTGCTGATGATACTGTGCTTATGGGAGATTCTAAAGAAAAATTGCAAAGGTTAGTGGATGAGTTTGGGAATGTGTGTAAAGGTAGAAAGTTGAAAGTGAACATAGAAAAGAGTAAGGTGATGAGGGTGTCAAATGATTTAGATAAAGAAAAATTGGATATCAAATTGGGGAGGAGGAGTATGGAAGAAGTGAATGTTTTCAGATATTTGGGGAGTTGACGTGTCGGCGGATGGATTTATGAAGGATGAGGTTAATCATAGAATTGATGAGGGAAAAAAGGTGAGTGGTGCGTTGAGGTATATGTGGAGTCAAAAAACGTTATCTATGGAGGCAAAGAAGGGAATGTATGAAAGTATAGTAGTACCAACACTCTTATATGGGTGTGAAGCTTGGGTGGTAAATGCAGCAGCGAGGAGACGGTTGGAGGCAGCGGAGATGTCCTGTTTAAGGCAATGTGTGGTGTAAATATTATGCAGAAAATTCGGAGTGTGGAAATTAGGAGAAGGTGTGGAGTTAATAAAAGTATTAGTCAGAGGGCAGAAGAGGGGTTGTTGAGGTGGTTTGGTCATTTAGAGAGAATGGATCACAGTAGAATGACATGGAAAGCATATAAATCTATAGGGGAGGAAGGCGGGGTAGGGTCGTCCTCGAAAGGGTTGGAGAGAGGGGGTAAAAGGAGGTTTTGTGGGTAAGGGGCTTGGACTTCCAGCAAGCGTGCGTGAGCGTGTTAGATAGGAGTGAATGGAGACGAATGGTACTTGGGACCTGACGATCTGTTGGAGTGTGAGCAGGGTAATATTTAGTGAAGGGATTCAGGGAAACCGGTTATTTTCATATAGTCGGACTTGAGTCCTGGAAATGGGAAGTACAATGCCTGCACTTTAAAGGAGGGGTTTGGGATATTGGCAGTTTGGAGGGATATGTTGTGTATCTTTATATGTTTATGCTTCTAGACTGTTGTATTCTGAGCACCTCTGCAAAAAAAAGTGATAATGTGCGAGTGTGGTGAAAGTGTTGAATGATGATGAAAGTATTTTCTTTTTGGGGATTTTCTTTCTTTTTTGGGTCACCCTGCCTCGGTGGGAGACGGCCGACTTGTTGAAAAAAAAAAAAAAAAAAAATTAATTGAGTATGATTAGGATCATTATTTAGTTGTACTACAGTTAGAGTAAGAGGTAGATGTGACAAGAGGAAAGTGGCAACAACAAGTAGGAGGGAAGTGAAAGTGTATAAACTAAGGGAGGGGGAAAAGTTCGGGTGAGATATAAGCGACTATTGGCAGAAAGGTGGGCTAGTGCAAAGATGAGTAGTGGGGGGGTTGAAGAGGGTTGGATGAGTTTTAAAAATGCAGTATTAGATTGTGGGGCAGAAGTTTGTGGTTATAGGAGGGTGGGGACAGGGGGAAAGAGAAGTGATTGGTTGAATGATGAAGTAAAGGGTGTGATAAAAGAGAAAAAGTTAGCTTATGAGAGGTTTTTACAAAGCAGAAGTGTTATAAGAAGAGCAGAGTATATGGAGAGTAAAGAAAGGTGAAGAGAGTGGTGAGAGAGTGCAAAAGGAGAGCAGATGATAGAGTGGGAGAGGCACTGTCAAGAAATTTTTTAATGAAAATAAGAAAAACATTTTGGAGTGAGTTAAACAAGTTAAGAAAGCCTAGGGAAAGTATGGATTTGTCAGTTAAAAACAGAGTAGGGGAGTTAGTAGATGGGGAGAGGGAGGTATTAGGTAGATGGCGAGAAATTTTGAGGAACTTTTAAATGTTGAGGAAGAAAGGGAGGCGGTAATTTCATGCACTGGTCAGGGAGGTATAACACTTTTAGGAGTGAAGAAGAGCGAAAAGTAAGTGGGGGGAGGGATGTGAGGCATTACGTAGAATGAAAGGGGGGAAAACAGCTGGGGAAATGATGGGATCATGACAGAAATGTTAAAAGCAGGGGGGGATATAGTGTTGGAGTGGGTTTGTACTTTTGTTTAATAAATGTATGAAAGAGGGGAAGGTACCTAGGGATTGGCAGAGAGCATGTAAAGTCCCCCTTTTTATAAAGGGAAGGGGACAAAAGAGATTGTAAAAATTATAGAGGAATAGGTTTTCTGAGTACAGGAAGGCCCCATTATTCGGCGGGTTAGGTTCCAGGCTACCGCCGTAAAGCGGAAACCGCCGTAAAGTGGAACACCCTTTTTTTTTCCCCTTAAAAATGCATACAAACACTAGATAACAAGTTTAAAACTAACATATATTAAGTTAGCAATAGAACCAGGCATCAAAAAACAATAAAAAAATACAATACAAAACATAGTGCACTCATTTACTTACCTTAAAATATTTATAGTCTTAATCAGGGTGAGACAAGTAGTATTTATTGTAAGAAATCAAGTGTGGTATGTATTGTAATAGCCTCACCAGGCCACCCCCCCCCCAACATACTATTCTATTTATATTTAAGCATCCCAGAGCGATAAAATGTATATACAGTTCACCATTACTTACCTTAAAATATTTGTTAGGTCTAATGTAGGGTCAGGGTAAATAAATGAGATAAAACGAAAAAATGAGAGAGAGAAAGAATGAATACATGAGAGGGGGCAGGCGCAGTTATGTAAACAAACCAGGCGAAGGTAAGTTTTGGGAAACAAACGAAGTGTACCGTCTTGGTTTGTGTACAAGTTACATTGTGTACAGGTTGTCTCTACATTGATACAGTAGAATTAATAAAGAAGAACACTCCCATTCTCATGTAACATCATTTTGAGAAGAAATGAAGCTCTGAGTGAAGGCAATGGAAATAAGTCACACTGACTTTTTTGGGTTATCCTAGGTTCTCTACACGTATGTTGTTATGTATGATAATCTATGTAACTGTATTTGTGTATACCTGAATAAACTTACTTACATACATACGAAAGGAATAATTTTCTACAGTTACCCCAGTAACACATTTACTCTTATGTTAGATTAGAGAAAATGTTATTCTTGGCGTCACTTGTACAAGTTATGTGGCTCCCACATCTATATTTATGTTTATTTATTCTATTGTGGGGTGTATTTATCATCTTTTTATGTTATGTATCGTGTTTATTATATAATTTTGAAAAAAATATCATGGATGGATTAATGAAAATGTGTATATTACCGTAATATACGACATTTAAATGACTCGATGTATGTAAGTTTATTTAGGTACAGGTATACATAAGTATAATTATCAGAGTATATATAAAATATGAAATAACTTTTAAAAACATTTGAAATTTTGGAGTTTCCAGACAAAATGGAGAGACTTAGTGCTTACTGAGCTCATGGAGAATGTAAACAAACAGGGTGGGGCACGGTGACCGTATTAGAAAGTCAGGTGGGGGGAGCCGTATAGTGAGTTTGGTCATAATTTGAAATGTCCGTATTAGCGGAACGCCGTAAAGTGAAACGCCGTAAAGCGGGGCCTTCCTGTATACCAGGAAAAGTGTACGGTAGGGTTATTATTGAAAGAATTAGAGGTAAGACAGAATGTAGGATTGCGGATGAGCAAGGAGGTTTCAGAGTGGGTAGGGGATGTGTAGATCAAGTGTTTACATTGAAGCATATATGTGAACAGTATTTAGATAAAGGTAGGGAAGTTTTTATTGCATTTATGGATTTAGAAAAGGCATATGATAGAGTGGATAGAGGAGCAATGTGGCAGATGTTGCAAGTATATGGAATAGGTGGTAAGTTACTAAATGCTGTAAAGAGTTTTGATGAGGATAGTGAGGCTCAGGTTAGGGTGTGTAGAAGAGAGGGAGACTACTTCCGGTAAAGTAGGTCTTAGACAGGGAAGTGTAATGTCACCATGGTTGTTTAATATATTTATAGATGGGGTTGTAAAAGAAGTAAATGCTAGGGTGTTCGGGAGAGGGGTGGGATTAAATTATGGGGAATCAAATACAAAATGGGAATTGACACAGTTTCTTTTTGCTGATGATACTGTGCTTATGGGAGATTCTAAAGAAAAATTGCAAAGGTTAGTGGATGAGTTTGGGAGTGTGTGTAAAGGTAGAAAGTTGAAAGTGAACATAGAAAAGAGTAAGGTGATGAGGGTATCAAATGATTTAGATGAAGAAAACTTGGATATCAAATTGGGGAGGAGGAGTATGGAAGAAGTGAATGTTTTTCAGATACTACTTGGGAGTTGACGTTTCGGCGGATGGATTTATGTAGGATGAGGTTAATCATAGAATTGATGAGGGAAAAAATGTGAGTGGTGTGTTGAGATATATGTGGAGTCAAAAAACGTTATCTATGGAGGCAAAGAAGGGAATGTAAGAAAGTATAGTAGTACCAACACTCTTATATGGGTGTGAAGCTTGGGTTGTGAATGCAGCAGCGAGGAGGTGGTTGGAGGCTGTGGAGATGTCCTGTCTAAGGGCAATGTGTGGTGTAAATATTATGCAGAAAATTCGGAGTGTGGAAATTAGGAAAAGGTGTGGAGTTAATAAAAGTATTAGTCAGAGGGCAGAAGAGGGGTTGTTGAGGTGGTTTGGTCATTTAGAGAGAATGGATCAAAGTAGAGAATGACATGGAGAGCATTTAAATATCTGTAGGAGAAGGAAGGGGGGTTGTGGTCGTTCTCGAAAAGGTTGGAAGGAAGGGGTTAAGGGAGGTTTTGTGGGCGAGGGGCTTGGACTTCCAGCAGGCGTGCATGAGCGTGTTCGTAGGAGTGAATGGAGATAATGGTATTTGGGACCTGACAATCTGTTGGAGTGTGAGCGGGTAATATTTAGTGAGGGATTCAGGAACCCGTTATTTTTATATAGCCGGACTTGAGTCCTGGAAATGGGAAGTACAATGCCTGCACTTTAAAGGAGGGGTTTTGGGATATTGGCAGTTTGGAGGGATATGTTGTGTATCTTTATACGTATATGCTTCTAAACTGTTGTGTTCTGAGCACCTCTGCAAAAACAGTGATAATGTGTGAGTGTGGTGAAAGTGTTGAATGATGATGAAAGTATTTTCTTTTTGGAGATTTTCTTTCTTTTTGGGTCACCCTGCCTCGGTGGGAGACGGCCGACTTGAAAAAAAAAAAAAAGATTAGGTTATACAGTGCTTTAATCTTTAATATCAAATTTCATTCTGATCCAAGTATGTATGACCCATACAAGTTTGGCACTTGTTTTCAGATAATAATAATGATAGTAATACCTCACACCTACCTTGGTGGGAAGTACAGTGCCTGCAGTCTAAAGGAGAGGTGGGGATATTTGCTGTTTGGAGGGACATCTGAACTGTTATATATATACATGCCAGAGGCATGTATATATGTGTCAGAGGCAGATGCCTCAGAGACATTTATGTTCTGTGGTTATTTTGAGAGAAAGTGGCTGATCATTGTGATTAATTTGAGAAAGAGCCAAACAAGAGAAGAAACAGTGAAAGGTGATTTAAAATTGAAAAGAACTTTTTAAGGGAGAGTTCTCACATTTTAACTAATGAATCATGAAAATATCTTTTTTTCAACTTGTAATTTTTCTCTTCAGCTGATCCATGACACTGTTGTGGATACAAGTGTGGTGTTTCCACACAAGATGGGTCCCCCTTATAAACGTGCCCTTCGCAACCTAGCCTCGGAATATCTCAAAACAATTATCCAAAATGATGGTAAGGAATTTTTTATTTGTTATTGTGCACTGAGCAGTACTGTAAATCAAAATATTGGTAAATAATAATCACACATGATTGTAAGGAAATTATGACCAAGTTCACATCATGCATAGCAGGTTGCATACTACTAGACAGTAACTGTCCTGCCATGCATGTGAAAGGAAAATCAGCTAATATTTTGTGCACTGGAAGGATTGCTGCCTTTTTCTGTCTCATGAGCATGCAAGATGGCAAGTAAATCTTGCACACTTCTTATCGCTAGTATCTTTGTAAATTGCGTTTGTGTGTGTATACAATCGAGTATGTAGCTGTGCACTTGAGATAGGGATCAATAAGATTAATTATGCTGTTTGCTTTGACGAGCTGCCCAAATGAACTGTACAGGAGGGCCCCGCATATACAGCACTTTCAGTGCTCCATATTTTGGTTGGCTTTCAATTGAGCCATTGTTCATTATGTTCAGTGCTTTTACCATTTTTCCATCATTTTTGCACAATGGTTGCATAAGGGAAGGACAGCCAGCACCATATTTGAAGGTACTTAAGTATTGTGCATACTGTATATTTATTTTACCTCTTTATGTTTTTCATGCCAAGCTGTATTGAGCACTTAATGTATGATAGCATAAACACATTATCAAGCATTTTAGACACACTCAATAATGAAGAAAAATGCTCTTTTCCAACCCATTAGTGATTTTTGCTTATCACATAAGATCGTGACCCTTAGAGACGTCCCAGCGGGGTCTTCCTGCACCTTTATTGAATGCCTGTGGTTACATTTAATAATTAATTTCATCCTACAGTTTCAGGTCATGACAGTGCAGAAGATGCTCTCACTTGCATGCAACTAATGCAGTGGAGAATCAAAGAAGATTTGAAAGGATTGAAATAGACATTTTTATTACCTTAGTAACAAAAAGTGAGATATTTTGATAACACAAATTATAAATGTGTTAAGCTAGTTGACATTTTTGTATAATACTACTTCATTCATTAATTTTCTTTTGATTAAGAAAATGAGTGTTAACAGTTTTTAATATAGAGTACAACACAGTACCAAATACAATGAGATATGTCTTCATTGTTTCTTTATCCATGAACGTCAGTACTGTACATGAACGATGAGTATCCAAATTGTAAATTATACTTGCATTGCATACCTGGATGAGGCTTGTTAATGAAGAGTGACTTCAGCTGTTTTAAAATTGAGTAAAACGGTGAGAAACTCTGAAATCTTGACTCTGGAAATCTTTCTTGAGGTTTCCTTTTGCCTAATACCCACATTTTTTACCATAAATATATATTTGGAACTACTGCATCACACTTAGGTAGTTTCTTTCAGTTGTATGTAGTAATCCACATGTGGTATTTAAGAATAAATTTATTCTGCCTTTTATTGATCTAATTTATTTTGCTTCTCTTAATTTTTGTAATTTAAGAAAGTGCAATTTTTCCAATAATGTGTATGTGATCTAACTCTAATGAATGTTTTCTTAATGTTTTTTGTAAATACTTGGATTCTGATCATAAAATATTGATTTTGGAATGTTTGACAACAAGTTTGTGTTGACAAGGTTTTAGTTATGCTGAAAAATCCTCAGTGTATCTGAACTTGTATGTATATGTTTAATTTGTTATTTAATTCTTTGCAGAGCAGTTCATGCCTGTTTTTGTATTGAAATAACCTGTCATTATTTAATAGTATTGTATCATGTTATTGTTGTATCACATCTTTTTTAAATATTTTGTTTTACTGACATGTAAAATAGTAGAAATGTATTTACCTCGTTTTTACCCCAGGGAAAAGAATTGAAAGACTTGCTTAACAAATGCACCAGAAGCATTTAAAAGTTGTATCGCCAAACCTAGTCGGGTGGTCGCTTTCACAGCTCTCATGAGAAAGGGTGGGGTTCAGTTCTTGGAAGGAGGATTTTGCTCAAGGTAAACCTAGCTGCAAGAGCAGCATTTGTATCTCTCAGTTAGTAGATAGAGGATTGAGCCTCCACCACTTGGCCCACGGGTTTAACACTTTGCATAAAATAATAAATATTCTCTCTACTGGTAGTTCCTCTGGCCACTGCATTAGCAAGTGGATTATATATTTTTTTTCATTATGTTTGGATAGACATTTGCAGATTTATTCCATTAACCAATTTTTAGTCTGCTCATTCGTATCTTGTTGAATTCAGCAGTGCTTTCCTAAACTTTGACATGGTACTCATTTTATAGGTTGTATTTCAAAAAATTATTTCTGTTGTCAGACAGTTAACTGAGGCCCACTTAAAAAGAATGTATTTCTTTAAAACATAAATTATCATTTAGCAATATTTTTATTACATATAGAAAGGCTGCAGCTGTGTAGTTTTTATCTATTTGTATTCTGTCTTAGGTGGGTAGTAAAAGTGAAATGGCTATTGATTGAGATTATACATAAATTATTGCATGTTTATGAATTCAATTGATATAAAAAATATATTTTTATACTAAATCCTGGACAATTTTTTCATCAAAAACTTGAGATTGCAGAACTGTGATGTAATACATTTTGTAATACATTTATTGCAGAACTTTGTAACTGTATATAGAATAGCTTTTAGAAAATTCAGCCCCTTTGCTGCACTACATAGAAGTGAAGAGATCCCCACAAAATATGAAAATTGTATGAATTTATGTTTAATTATGTTTGAGGCTGCAGTGGGGTGAGCTCTAGCTGTTGGTCAGCTTTCTAACTAACTTTTTAACTGTGAATGGGCTCTGTCATAGCTTTGTTTGAGCCCCTGTATGGAGTCTTGCTTCTGTCACTGTTCAGTTCTTTCTACTTATCATACTTATATTGATAAATTGTTTTATGACATCTAAAACTCACATTTAGTAATTTAAACCTCATTCACAGTATACAATCACTAACCATTTGATGTTGTCCTATCCTTGTAAACCTTGTGTATGACCCATAGTATTTTGTATTTTATGATCATATCTCCTCTTGTTCTTTATTACTTCATTGACATAAGGCCTAGCGCTTACTCTCTCTCTTATGGATTCTTCATCTTTCAATGAACCGGCCATATCCCACTGAAGCACGGTGGCCCAAAAAGAAAAACAAAAGTTTCTCTTTTTAACTTCAGTAATGTGTACAGGAGAAGGGGTTACCAGCCCCTTGCTCCTGGCATTTTAGTCGCCTCTAATGACACACATGGTCTTCATAGATTATTCCCTTTAAATCAGGCACCAGTGTTGATATACTCCTTTCTGTTTTCTCAAGTTTCTATTTGTGTTTTATAAGGTAATTGTTCCATACCAGTAGCACTGGTTACTCAAGAATGGCTTATGTATATGAGGCAAGAGTGTTTTGAATGAGTCTTTGTGTGTGTATGTTCAACTCTGCTTATTCTCTGTGTTGTATAAACTGTAAATATTATGTAGAGTTTTCATACTAAATCAAATAATTGTATATTGGTAATTCTACTAACATTAATACAAAGAATTGTAAATATCTTTCTAGCATTATACAATAATCATTTATTGAAAGCATTATTGCATGTTGTAAGCCACTGAGCTTAGTGCTGTAATAAGTGAAGCATCAGGGGAATGTTTAGTTGTCTTATATTGAAAAAAAATTCATTGGTAATTCCACATTTTAATTATAATTCAAAATTTCTAACCTTTAGTTTTTAAGTAATCATCTCTTCTATGAATATACCTGGAGGGTACACCTGGAGGTATACCTGGAGGTATTTCAAAGGTCAATGCCCCTGTGGCCTGGTCCATGACTAGGTCTTAGATAAGCCACAGATTCCTTACCACAACTGTTATTAGCTGCCTTTGTCCTTCCTAGGAGTGTCTTGGTGCTGGTGAAGGGTTCTTGATCTGAAGAACTGGAGCTACGTTCCTCTTCCTTGAATTAACCCGTAAACGGTCCAAACGTATATATACGTTTTTTCAACATTTGAAAGTATGTAAAAAAGTAGATCTTTTTGTTTTTTTACATTTGAAAATGTGTAAAAAACTTTGATCTACTTTTTTTTTTTTTGTTATATTTGAAAATATGTAAAAAAACGTAGATATACTTTTGTAGCACTACACATGTGAACGTAGATCTGCTTGGACCGTTTACGGGTTAAACGTGGTTCTGTCTCATTCCTCAAGTGCTATACAATTCTTACAGATTTAATACTCCTCTATGAATATAATAATATAATATATAATTTTCTTTCTTTTTTGGGTCACCCTGCCTCGGTGGGAGACGGCCAACTTGTTGAAAAAAAAAATAAAATATAATAACTGTATGGTCATAAAATCATTAATGTATAACACCAAATTAGTGATTGGAAAAAATTGATGCTGAGATAGGGAAGACATGGGTGGTATTAGTGAATATGGATTGTGATAAACAGGATATAGTGGTTGAACTTATCATTTTAAATGCCAGTGTGCATTATGTATATGTACTTGAAGTATGTATACTAATTGTATGGATAAAATTTATGTTAAAGGACCGTCTCATAGCAAAGGGGTTAAAATGGAGGAATAAAAACCAAATATGAATCAAGTTGGCTGCAAAGAGCTAAAATGAATCTACAGAGGTATTTTTTTTTTTATTCTCCTTACTTATGACAAAAACTGTATACATGTATTGAAATTTGAGAGTGAGGCCTCCAATACTCAGTCTAAATTTTTCTTTAGTTGTGTGAGGCATTGCTTGACAGAAAACAGTAATTGCCAAATTCACACAGTGGAGAAAAACAGTCTTGAGGGAGATCAGAGCTATAAAGTTTAAGTTGCCATACTTTGTTATGGGGCTTTGACCCTAACTTATAAATGGAGAGGACACTATCTACACCTGCAAACAGACGTCACATTAACCCTTAAACGGTCCAAACAGATCAACGTTCAAATTCGTAATGCTACAAAAGTAGATCTACTTTTTTTTTTACATATTTTCAAATATAACAAAAAAAATGTAGATAAAAGTTTTTTTTACGCGTTTTCAAATGTAAAACAAAAAAGATTACATTTTTTTACATACTTCAGATGTTGAAAAAACGTATATATACGTTTGGACCATTTAAGAGTTAAGGAATTTATTCTTATGATAACCCAGATGTTGGCTGTAGTGGTGCTTATTCTTTGAAAGAAGAAGTGTGTACTCTATCAGCTTGCTAAAAATCCTTGGTAAGAATTGCATGTAAAGTCACTACCTCATGGACGATGATCTTTATAGCAGCAACGTAGCACTTGTAAATCTTTTGCTTGAAGTTTAAGACACTTTGGAGGTGATATTATTAACCCTTTCACTGTCGGTGTTGTATTAGTACGGCTTACAAGCCAGTGCTGGTGCCGTATTAATATGCAAAAATTCTAGGGGCTTCAAATCTAGCGAGAAAAAGATGGTAGACCTACATGTGAGAGAATGGGCCTGCATGGTCAGTGTGCACAGTATAAAAAAAATCCTGCAGCACGCAGTGCATAATGAGAAAAAAAGAACTCTTGACTGTGTTTTTCATTTAAAACGCCAAATTTGAGGTGTATTTTCGTATGGTATTTATGGTTGTATTCTCATTTTCTTGGTCTCATTTGATAGAATGGAATATATATTACAGAAATAGAGATGATTTTGATTGGTTTCATGATGAAAAGTACCTTGAAATTGAGCTCAAAGTAGCAGAAATGTTCGATTTTTGCCGATGTTCCAGAGTAAACAAATGATGTCACCCTCCAATGTGTCCAGCTGGCTCATCTGATATGCAGTCACGAATGGGTTGACATTATTTATAAAATTATTACAGTAATGCAGTAGTCTGCATAACAGTAAATCTTCTATTTTTTGTGTGAATAAAAATTCAAAATGGAAAGCAAGAGTAATATGAGAGGGGAACAGCTGGATAGTTGAAATTGGTAAATGGGCAGTTTTTTGTACTCAATTGATAGAACAAATGGAGTTATAGCGAAATACGTAGCTGAGTTTGGTCGACTGGAACAATGGAATTGGCCAAAAATAGGGCCCAAAGTGGGCGAAATCACCGATGCGTATACGTATATCGCTGAGACTGCTAACTTTGTGAGAGCATAATTCCATGAGTTTTCCATCAAATTTCATACTTTTGGTGTCATTACCATCTGAAAAATATTCTCTATCATTCCATAAGAATTTTTTTTTTTAAATCCTTCGACACTGAGAGCAAGTTTGTGAGCAGGGGTCTCGACAGTGTAAAGTTAATAATAATATTGCATCAGCTTCAATAAGGTCATATTTGTCTTAGGTATTCTTGCTTGTTAATTGTGTATTAGGCATATACAAGAATGAGAAACCTCAGTGTGGCCAATATGAGGTAAATAGTTAATAGTAATCAATTATTATTATCTCCTACTCTGTTAGCTGTATTTGATATGATTTATTGCTCTAGACTAGAATAGTTTACAAGCAATTTTTAACATTTATTGAAATATTTTCTCTGTTTTCTCTTAGCAGTACTGTAAATATGCATAAAAATGGATGGGGAACATATTACTATCTCTCTGTACAACGTTTCAATTGTAATTTATTTATCTGTATAGATGAAAGACTGTCAGAGAACAGTACTGTATTTTCTTTAATAATAAGATTCTGAACTTGTCTGCATATTTGCAAGTCTGTCAGGGATTTCTTATATATATATATATATATATATATATATATATATATATATATATATATATATATATATATATATATATATATATAACATAATCACAACACATACACATATAATTCAACAACACGTCCCACCAGCACACACACACACACACACACACACACACACACACACACACACACACACACATACATACATACATACAAGAACCTGACCCAGCTTTCTTTTTAAATATATCAGTTGTTCTAAGGTTATTTCAGTTACTGTAATGTATTTCCAAAAAGTGTGTAATCTGATAAGAAACATAAGTGAGAAGCAGCATAGGTACAATCATCCCATCAAATCAGCTGGGGTTATGTTCTTAGAATTCCTGTGTAACTGGAAACTGTGACTAATACAAAATTAAATCTGCCCAATAAATTTTCTTTCAGATTTGGGTTCATTTTACATTTCAGAGACCAGATCATTTTAACATACAACTCTAAATTGGGTTAATTTCATGAAATATAATGACCAGAATAAAAAACTTGCATGTGGAAGAGCCTTAAGCGAGAAAAATAGTGGATAATTTAATCTATTTGCTGATTGCCCATCACTAAAAATGTTGGATAATTAAAACCCACAAATAAGGAAGCTCACAAATTTGGAAGGATGAATGTACATTATTATTATTCTTTCAACAAACCGGCCGTATCGCACCAGGCAGGGTGGCCCAAAAAGAAAAACGAAAGTTTCTCCTTTTAAATTTAGTAATATATACAGGAGAAGCTAGATAGTAGGTTGGTAGGCAGCAACCACCCAGGGAGGTACTGCCGTCCTGCCAAGTGAGTGTAAAACTAAAGCTTGTAATTGTTTTACATGATGGTAGGATTGCTGGTGTCTTTTTTCTGTTTCATAAACATGCAAGATTTTAGGTACGTCTTGTTACTTCTTACGCTTAGGTCACACTACACATGCATGTACAAGCATATATATACACACCCCTCTTATCTCCATGGGGAAGTGGAATAGAATTCTTCCTTCGCAAGCCATTCATGTCGTAAGAGTCGAGTAAAATGCCAGGAGCAAGGGGCTAGTACCCCCTTCTACTGTATACATTACTAAAATTAAAAAGAGAAACTTTTGTTTTTCTTTTTGGGCCACCCTGCATCGGTGGGAAATAGCCGGTTTGTTGAAAGAAAGAAGATACAGGAGAAGGGGTTACTAGCCCCTTGCTCCCGGCATTTTAGTCACCTCTTACGACACACATGGCTCACGGAGGAAGAATTCTTCTCCACTTCCCCATGGAGATGAGAGGAAATAAACAAGAACAAGAACTAGTATGGAAATGAAAGAAAACCCAGAGGGGTGTGTATATATATGCTTGTCAATGCATGTGCAGTGTTACTTAAGTGTAAGTAGAAGTAGCAAGACATACCTGAAATTTTGCATGTTTGTGAGACAGAAAAAAGGCACCAACAATCCTACTGTCATGTAAAACAATTATGGGGTTCCATTTCACACTCAATTGGCAGGATAGTAGTACCTCCCTGGGCAGTTGCTGTCTACCAACCTTCTATCTAGGATGTACATTATTGTGTTTACTTAAAGAAATGTAAGCCTGTCTTTTATAATTACCTCACAAATCTTTAATTTTGACATCACCTGCTATTTAGGAGATAGGACTGTTGTCTTGTAACAAGTGAAGGGATATGCAGGTACAGTGGAACCTTATTAAAAAGCATATGTCTGTTGCTTGCCATTTGTAGAGTTGATTTTGTCATTTAACAGCTTAGTCAGATTTTTTTACATAAACAGTTATAAATAAAACCAGCACATTACCATTTCCTATGGTGATGAGGAGCAGTGTACTAGTGTACCTGGCAAGAGGAGAGTGCCCATAACATTCCTATACTGTTCTCACCTTGTAATCCCACTCCCCAAACCCCATGAGGAATTTTTACTTTTACTTTCAAGTTAAACACACTACCTACGACTCGCGAAATCATAACAACACGATTGCAGACAAACCATGGAATGAACGGGGTTAGAACCCATGGCAGGTGAGTGGTAAAACTATGAGTTTTACCACTCACTTGCCAT